CACAGTAGGCGAAGACTGTCTCGGCGTTTCGACTTATTTTGCTATTACAGACTAGAAAACTGTTATAGCGTTTTTGAATTTTGTGCCACAGTAGGCAAAGACTGTCCTGGCGGTTGGATATGGTGCCACAGCGGGATCAGGCTGTCTCGGCGTTTAGATATAGGATTTTTGATTTTTGTTGTTTTATTTGGTGTTTTTAATTGTTTTTGGTTTCGTTTGGTAGTCTCCCTATTAGTCATTGGGGCGGTCTGTGCGTTCTCGAAGATTTTCGCATTTCGAACACGTCGCAAGAATACCGACAATACCCCCTCTAGCACCTTAACGAGAGGGCTGCACACATTAGAGGTGGCGTAAATCGGTTTCTCGCGACGTGTTACCCCTATATCTGATAGAAAATTGACGAGTTTTGATGAAAGATTTCTGCTTAAAAGTTGGTGTGTGTATAATAGTTTATTAACTATAATAAAAAACTATAATAACGTGTTGATGTAGATGTAGTAGTAGGGCGTTAGCGACTTACTTAGGTTAGTGACTCACTTGTGAACCACGTTATTAAAAATATATTTTAGTAAAAAAAACTTATAAAAGTCTAAAGTAACTTCATACTAAAAAAAGTAAAAACTAAAAGTATTTTGGATAAAGTAAATAAAATCTTATAAAATATATTGTAAATGTATTATAAATATGTTATAAAAGTATTTTAAATATATTTTAAATGTAATTTAGTATATAGTATCAGGTTTAGCTTGATATAGTTAGCGCAGATTATATTAGGTATAGTAGGTCGCCTATAGTAACGCGCTAAAATCCCATGGTCGGGTGACATGCCGACACGGCCGCCACACTCGCACGCCACGCCTAATCTTTTCCCAGCCCATCTCCGATCCTCTGCACTTGCTCGCACTCGCACTCGTGACAACTTCGCCCCCCGGCCGGGCGGACGGCTCCTATCAGCAGCTCATCACACGCGGCTAAGCTTTGCCCAGACGCCTTGTCCATGATAAGAGCCGACAAGACTGGGCCGTCGCAGCTAACCGACATGGGGCAGCTCCTTTGCTCCCACCAGCACCGGCCCTGCAACGGCTTTTTTTTTTCGCCCACACTGACGCGGCGACAGCCGAGTGTGCGGTGGGTACAAGAGAGAAACATGTCGCCGCGTGTGGCACGCCAGGGCTGAAGCATCCTCTTCCGTTTCCCTTTGCCCTTCTCCCCCTCCCCTCCCCCTCCCCCTCCCCCTCGCCTACCCCGCCCATCCTCTGTCCTCGTCGCCATGTACACGGAAAAGGCCCCGGACCAGACGAGCAGCGCCTCATCCGACAATGGCGTCGGCTACAACATGTCCGCCGCACGCGAGACGGGCTTGCTGGGAAAGCTGCGTGCATTCGAGGCCCGCCTGGACGCCAAGCTGGGCATCGAGTCCGAGGCCATCAACAGAAAGCTGCCAGAGGAAAAGGGTCACGTGCCCTGGCACCACCAGCTAAGCATGTTCTTCCTCTGGGCCTCGGGAACCATGAATACGTCATGTTTTGCGACGGGGTTTTTGGGTCATGAATTCGGCTTGTGTAAGACGCATGCTCGGCAGCAATCACTACCACATTGCTAATTTTTGGCCTTTTTTCAGCGCTCCGCCAGTCCATTGTCATCACCATCTTTGCGTCGATCCTGGGTGGCGCCGCGACTGGCTTTGCGGCGACGTTTGGAGCCCCCACGGGCCTGCGCCAGATATCCGTTTCGCGCTATGCCTTTGGGTGGTGGCCGAACAAGGTCATCGCTGCGCTCAACACCATTGTGCAGATTGGCTGGGCCGCCGTCGCATGCATCACGGGTGGCCTCGCTCTGACTGCCGTTGCAGATGGCCACATTTCACTCATTGTCGGCATCGTCATCCTCGCCGTCGTGGCAACGCTCATTTCCTTTATTGGCCTACGCGCCATCTTGGTCTACGAGCGCTATGCATGGTTCGTCTTCTTCATCATCTTCATCATCTTCTTCGCCGAAACCGCAAAGTACACGGATAACAGCAGTGCGACGTCGGTGAAGGGCGCCGATCTCAGCGGCCAAGTCCTCAGCTTGATTGCCATTGTATACGGCAGCTCGGCCTCGTGGCAGACCATGGCATCCGATTACTACGTCCACTACCCCGTCAATGTCAACCGGTGGAAGGTCTTCCTCATGACGACGTTTGGCATTGCCATTCCGACGTCCATCGGCATGCTCGCTGGCTGCGTCGTCTCCTTTGGCATGAACAACCGCCCAGACTGGAAAGACGTCTATGAAAACCAAGGCCTCGGTTTCCTCATCCAGACCATGCTGTACCCACGTGGTTTTGCCAAGCTCATTCTCACGCTGCTCGTGCTCTCCGGCATCAACGTCAACGTCATTTCCATTTACAGCGCCGCCATATCCTGCCAGCAGTTCTCCCGCCCGTTTGCGCGCGTCCCCCGCTTCATCTGGGTCTTACTCTGCTTCGCCGCCATCCTCGGCCTTGCCATTGGCGGCAGAGAAAAGCTCAGCGTTTACCTGCAGAATTTCCTGTCGCTGCTCGGATACTGGTCCACACAGTACTTTATCATTCTCTTCAGCGAACACGTCATTTTCCGCAAAATGAACTTTGACAATTACGACCTCGATGCGTGGAACGATCCCGCTCGTCTTCCCGTTGGCATTGCGGCTGCTCTTGCCTTTTCAATCGGCATCGTTGCATGGATCATGGGCATGGTTGAAACTTGGTATGTTGGTCCGCTCGGCAAGCTGATTGGCTCGGGCGGTGGAGATGTCGCGAATGAATTTACCCTTGTAGTCACGGGCTTGGTTTATATCCCCGCGCGCTTTGTCGAGAAGCGCATCATCGGACGGTAAGATGGGCGAGTAAACGGGTTGTAGGGAGTTGATTTATGATTACGTAGTGAATTCGTGATTGATCATTATTACCATCTTGATAGGAGCAAGCGAGTGGGTGAATACCAATGCAAAAGTTGAATATAGATTGGTAGGCATAGTCACTGGCTTCGTGCAGAATAGTAGTATAAAACCCCACCCCAACACCAAATAGCGTAACATTGAGTGGTCGCAAGAACCTGGCAGTGCTCTATCACGTACTCTTTCTTGTTAAGAAGAAAATCCTGTATCAAATAAAGTAATCTAGGTGCGCAGCAGTACTGTAGGCAGCCAGCGAAGCAACAGCTTTGTCTTGATAGAGCAATCTTTATCCCACTATCTCTGTCCCCCAAAGAGCCCTTCATACATACAAGGCTACCATTTCCCTAAACCCATATTACTCGTGTCTATCTTGGCATACTACCGCGCCATACATGTACAGCGTGCTACTTTACATAAGCTGCATGGACTTTAATTCAATTGTAACTTTGTTATCCGCGGAAACTGCGATATAGCTAGTTATTGCCTTGGCTGCAGGGGTGTGCACGAACTACCTATGAAGCATGGCTGTGATACATGGTTGGGTTTACTTGATTTGCCTCGCTACAATATGTAGATGGGTGTAGATGATAAGGTGTGAGTTTTTCCATAGTTGTGCTGTTGTATTTATACAGGCTTTGTTGTGTTTATGCGTTGATTTGTGGTATAAGTCTTGCGCACTATATGTATTCCAAGTCTAGCACTCCTACTCCAAGCCTAGACCCGCCTCTTATCACACCCTCTACATGCAAATATAGAGGCTTCCTGCAGCAGACACATGTATCTCATGACACACACGCTGCACGGACCAATCCCAAGTCTCATGTAAATAGTACCAACTAAACAAATAAATAAAGTAACTGCTCAAATCTGTCGATGTAGTATCAGACGTGACGCCCTTGCTCCTTTGCGCAAAAATTCAAAAAAAAATCATAAATAAAGTAACTTGGAAAATGCATTCATATATAACTGCACTGGGACTGAATACTGACAGCTTTTTCCTTGTCCATCTTATTTGTAGCCTCAAAAATATGTTGACTGATATATCGCCTTGCAGGTCTACGATAGGGTATGCGAGGAGGGATGGGGGAGCCCGCGGAAAGTTGTATTGTTGCAAAAAAAAAAGAAAAAAAAGAAAAAAAGCATATTGACGAAAGGATGTGGATAAATGGCTATTTTTGGAGTGCATGATCTGTGGGAATACTACATGGCTTGTCATTGAAGAGCAGTCATTCTATCAATGGGGTTTGAAACTTTTTTTTCCCTGCGTTATGTTGAGATGCTTGACAATAAAGCCCTTTTTCTTTTTCGTATTTATGTTACTCCTGCTCACGTGCAAAAACTAATTGTCTGGTTTTAAAATCACTGTGTAGATCTTGTCAAATGAGCACTGGTGAAATTGGCAATATCCTCTGTATAGTATGTAGTGGCACTCCATATCGTACAGTGGTATGCATGATCAGCCAGTCATGTAGTATATTTGAGCAAGTCCCGTCCAAACGCGCCGCGGTGTGTTTCCACCGGCTTGGTTTGATTTCAGGTTTTATAGAGATCGCCAAGGTAAGCGTGAATACATGTTTGTTTCACTCTAGTGTCACACAGTGCCTCACTCGTCGCCAAACTTCAAAACACTTGACTTCTAACTTTCTCAACATGTCCAAGAACTCGGCTTACTTCTCGAGTGTTTTCATATTCTCTCCTAAAAGCATGTGAAATAAGCATTTCTACTCACTAAATATTGCGAAAGCTTTCGACATGACATGATGTGGATTTTAGAAGCCAACCACTCTACCTATCCTCTCTAATATAGTCCAGATGCTTCTCTGACTTGTTCTTTTCCTCTTTTCTCCTTTCTCTACAGAACATTTCAATCATATCCCCCTACCAAGACCACCTGCTCCCACAAACACAGTAAGCAATACTTGCAAATGCGTAGACGCAACGACTAGGTATGTTAAAGATTGCTACCTGAAAAAAGTTGCTTTTCACAATTTTAAACACTCTGGAAGTGGAGGGCTTCTCAACAGCCCGCTCTACCCGTCCTTTTGTCGTGTTTATTCGTTGCATCCTGTGGGTGGCACAGCAGGACTTGAACAATAGTCTTGCGTCATGATATGTAGTTGGGCACACTAGTTTTGGATCAGGCAGATACATTTAATGAAGATAAAGTAACGAATGGATTGACGTGTGTTACGCAAGATGAATTGCACAGTCCAAAATGGACAGCGGACGAGTAACTGAAGCATTTACGTATTTAATTCTGCTACTCTACGCCACGCAATTCTTTACTTGTTCAAAGCATATACACAGGGGTTATTCTTTCCAAGGTCTCCTAGAGTGAAGAACGAAATCAACTTGAAAGACGCATCTTTGCCCTTTATCCACAGTACTTATAACCTTCGATACCGCAATACTGATTAGTTGTTGATATCAAGAACAGACGCATAGTTGCCCGAGCGACACGCCATTATCCTACAGCGTGATCCACATCTCTGACTCAACCGCATATTGATCTTGAAATCAGACTGGCTGCGCCATGCTCACGGAAATGCTGCAGTGTCATCAGCAGGACCTGGAATTTTAGACTTTGTAATCCCACGCCTTATTATGGGTGTATGGCGGAGTTAGCCAACCAATGAAGCCGTGAACATGCTTCTCTAAGCCTAATGCGATATTGCGGTTTGTCCTGGCCCGGTGGACCGACGTGGTTTGCTGAAATCGAACAATTGTCTTTGCAATGTCACAATGCAAATATCCTGTATGGAACCAGATGGGAAATACATACACGGACAACTCAAGCGCAAGACGAGGAACAACTTGATCGTATACTCTACAATGCAATGTTGAAAACGGATTTCCAAACCGTGCTGTCCCTGGTGTCGTTCGGTAGCGGCACGTCCCGCAGTGGGGTGCGGGACGGCCCTCGGAATCCTCATGACTCTGACTTGGCACCAATTGAGCACTTTGCTCTGCAGTTAATATACGGATCTTGGAGCGTCTTTAAAATGTAGAATAACATTCATCGCGACTATGTACATGGTAGCACTTGGAGGAAGCTTAATGGACAAGAGACGCGCACAGTATTAAGCACTCCAACATATGAATAAACTAAAATGTTGCATTTTTTATCCTGTATCATGAATAGAGGAGTGAGTTTCTACCACATCACTCAACTCAAGCGTTGCTTATGCATCACGCTGTTTGTATGTACACAGTGCCGTGAATCCAGTACTCGAAACCTTTCCTTGGCTCAAAATCTTCCGTGAATCTTCAAAGGGTATTAAGCAGTCATTACTCTTGAGCTTCTTTTTTTTTTCTAGTGCCTCAGCCGGACGTGTGCTCTTTCTCACATCCTCTGCGGTGTATACCTCCTTTCTTGAGGGGTGCTTTTTGCTACCTCATTGGCCTCGCAGTGGTAATGATTCGTGGCATGCGGACCCGATCGTAACGGTAACTGTGTACTGAGATAGTTTTAGGAATGGCTCAGTCTTCGCCAAACACAATGAAGCTCGCCTCATCCTCAATCTCCCAATATGTGCAGCTGCCTTCACTGTCTTCGTCGCTGTATTCATCGTCATCGTCGTCAGATTCGACATCTTCCCAGTCGCTATCACCGTCATCTTCCTCAATCTCATCGGTTGTGTCAAAAACCTGCAATGATTCGAGGATCTCGCTGATTGGCTCTTCTGCATCAGCAATGTGAACAGTCTTTGTGTGCGAGTAATCCTCTGAATCCTCAGAGATGATTTCTTCTTCGTGGTCTTCAGGTTCTGTGACAGTGTATTTCCCAGGTTCGTAGCGCGGCGATCTTCGGTGAAAGTATGGGTTGGGTCTTCCGGGCTCGAAATCCGTGTCTTCAGTGAATGCGACTGCTGAATCTCTTTTGGGCCGCGGTGGATCATCCACACGCCCTGTCGTCTCAGCCCAGTACAGATCCAGCGCCTTGGAAGCCGTTTGCACATTTTCGTAGCGCTTCTCTGGGTGTCGCACCGACCATCGAGCCTCTTTTTCGGCTAGGTCTTCGATCATTGAGAGTTCCTTGAGTGCGCCAATCTTGCCTTTACACCATGCATTGTACACGGTGTCCTGGTGCTCGGAGCTGGTCAGAGTGCATGACGGTGCGCGTCCGCCGGCACTTTCGAGGGCTTGCGAGAGAACATTCATGTACTTGACATGTATGTCAATGGTACACACCGGGCAACGTGATTGTAGTTGACCCGCAGCTGTTGGGTGCATCGTGTGTTGGCAGATTGGTGCGACGGGCGAATTTGACGTAGATGCCTTGGTCTTTGAGCTGGGCGGTGCAATGTGGCCAGAAATATCGTCAAAGATATCGGAGAAGTAGCCTGAGTCTTGTCGCTTCAACCACTGTTGAAAGTCTTCGTACTCGCCAGCTGTAGGGATGAAGCCTTGTTCATTTGGCCTGACATTTGCATGCAAGCATTGCCAGCGCTTGTAGAGTTTGAGTTCGCGCGGCGACAGAATGACGCTCGCAGGGATTTTGGTGTGGGCCATGGTCGCTGTGTGTGACGTCGGCGTGGTTATGAAGGGTGTGGAGTTTCTGAGATGGATTGCTCCTGTACAAAGATATTGGGAGCAGCCGTGTTTCCGTTGGGAGGAGGGCTGTCTTCACAATACGCTGTCGTGAAAGAGTTATGGAAAGGGCAAACTACGTCACGCTGTACAGCAACCACGGTTCGGGGGACTGTTTGCGCCAAATGAAGGCGTTGGTGCCAGGAGACGTGTGCGCAGAAATAGAAGAGCGCAGAAAGGGTTTCGACAAGCGCGGATTGGTTTGTGGGGCGACCAATGTAGTCGCGGCTTTTTGTGCGTACGCGGTGAAAGGGGCAAAGGTGAAGGCTCCCTCGGAGTGCCGGGTATGTGTCGCTACCAAGCAAATGTGCGTCGGATGGGACCGGTGCAACGGTCCAGACCAAGACGGATCCTAGTCTTGACCGGAAAGTTTTTTTTTGTTTTTTTTTTTCCAAAGGCTCTAGGGGTAGAGATGTCCGGTATGCAGACGTCGCGTTCAGACGCGACGAACAGTGTTGACAAGGTAGCCCAACTTCGCGATCTTAGGGAGACTGGAGTGCCAGAAAGAAGCCATGGTTGTGGGGGAGTCGAAATACATTGCCTGGTCCGGGTGGATATGGGTGGAATGTTCGCGAGATCTCACGCGGGGTTCTGCCGTGCACTTTGGGCCGGCGTCGGTCGCGGATGTGGGGGGAGGGCGGGCAGCGACGAGCGCGGGGCAGATGTCTCTGCGTGGTGGTATATGGATGGGTCGAGGCGCGCAGGCGTGTGGATATCGCGTCACCGGAGAGCGCGAAGGAGGCTCGCGTCTTCAGTGCTGGGGGAGAGGAAGGGTGTAGGTGAGAGAGTCTGCAAAAGGGAGCAAGCAGTGGGCTGAACGGGGCTTACCGGGGCATTTGATGGTGCGGGCCCCTGTGCGTCATGCCCCTGACTCATTGGTGAGCGCCTGTGGCGGTGCTGCGCCAAGACATGGCGGTGCCCGACTTCGCCTCCCCCGTGACCCGGGTCATGTGACGTCCCGGCTACGTCACTGCCTCAGCCCTGCTTCGTCCGCACACATCTCATGACCTACGCAACAGGCTGTCGTACGCTGTGCTCTGCTGTTTGCACCGCTGACGCTCTGACAGCGTCCTGCTGCACCATGTCTTAATGCTTACTTACGTGCATACAGGACACGAGCCCCGAGTGGCCTGATGGCCCGGCGCGGTAATTACACCGACAGCCAGAGCACTCGACATCCAGGACACCCTCACTGACCTCGGGCTGAGATGCCAAACTTGGAAAATGGCAGTCCAGCTTTCTTCATGACCTCCGTCGTGTCGCCTGCTCCAGATCCGTCGTGTCGCTAGCCTTGTCCTCAGAAACGTACAAATCCTGGACAAGCAGCATACGACTCGGTTTCAATCATTGTCCGAGTACCCGAACAGCGTCACGACAGACGGGCCTGGCTATGCTCTGGTTTGTTGCTTGCATGGAGAAAGAGTATACGCGAAAATAGTAGCAGCGCAGCGTGGCTGAGACACGACACGAATCACTGCACCATCCCACCCATGTCGAGTTACTTGCGAACATACGCATCATTGCCGACTACTAATATCAACTCTTTAACTGAGCTTGCTATGCAAAGACACTTCAGCTACGCCACTGACTCTGTCCTTGTAGGAAAACTTCGTCATTGGTGTCATTCGGCTGCATATTGCTTTTTCAAAGAGGTGGGGTAATGGGGGCCGAGACAATCACCACAGACGCTGATTTGAGCTTGCGTGTGTGTCCCAGCATACATCCATCCCGGCTTAGCATGTGACGGACTTTCTCGTCACAGAGCTATCGGGATCGGGTTTGTAGCGGTGCGCTCGGCCATGGACCCTCTAACGATAGGCCTAAGTAGCTATCGCAGGGTTGTCGGAGTACTACCTATAGCACCTTTCCCCACTACTTTGCTCTCTCTTAGTGAGATACAGACGCTACAGTCAAGTCTTGTCTTTCAGCTGGCGCCCGACCAACGGGGCTGGTAGGAGGAGCAGTGCATGTAGCGGGAATGGATCCAAGGAACCACAGCCACCTAAGATTAGTTCCGTCCTCAGCCCCAACAGTGCCCCACGGCTGAGCTCTGACATTTTTTGCACTGCATAGCACTGTCACTTCTGTGAGAGTCTGCTCTCCGCTCACAATGCAGAAACACCGAGGTATCAATTCATGTCGCTCGGGAACAAAACAAGAAGACGAATTCCTCTCCTACTATCCGGTAGAAGCTGTAGTGCTAACAACCTGTCATTCCACCGGCTGGATGTATCGCGTATTTAGGGCCCATTCTTTGCCAGTCTAGGATCCCTCGAGATGTACAGTTAGTGAGCAACAAATGACAGCTACCATGGCCAGACCCAAACGCAAGCATAGTTTGCTATCTAAGGCCTGACAGAGCCTGGTTGGCCGTTCGATTGCTACACACTAACTGTCGTTGCTAAACAACGTGCCATCGCGAAGTGTGGCTGCATATGCGTAATCTAGATGCTTTGGGCATCCTTGGTATGCATGCTACTGTGCCCTGCCTCTATGCCCCATGTTTTCTGATTCGGGAGCTGAATGATGGCGTAGCTTCATTCGGTATATCTGTGCTCGATAGGATCTCAAGCATCTCGTTCTCATCGCAAGATCAAAATCTGGCCCGCTCTGCTTGCTTCTGATTTCTGTTGTGCCAGTCAAAATGGAACATCGTGAAGAGTGCCGCGACGACTTGAGCAGTTGTCGAAGCTGCACTGACAGCCAATTGGACCCTCCACCACCTCGGTTTCAAGAGCGTAATCAGATCTACACAGCCCCGGTCACGTCGCAAATAACTTCCAGCCCAGACTCACTTCCACTTCCGTCACCTCCACTGCCATACAATCAAGAGAATCCTCTGAATCCCCTCCCACCCAATCATGAAGATGCTAAAAAAGGGTACGTAAGCTGCTGAGTGAGTCTTTAATTATTCAAGTCCCAGCCTCTGCTTGGATATCATTGCTGTTGTCATCTTGAAATCACCTAATCCTGGTACAGGTGCTCGACTGAGAAAGAAGGAAGTCCCATACGCTTCAGACGTGCCCATTGTTGAAGCAACACCTGACTCCTCAGGGCTTCAAGTAGTACCGGGCCAATTTACGCAGGGTCCTCATGAGATTCGATCAATGTCTCTTTCCTCACACGGCGAAACTGTAGTTGCCTCTCCGCACACCAGGCCCTATGGGTTCAAGGAGCACGTTGATTCATACGATGGACGCGAGACTGCTCCTCCATTAACAGCGCTCCAGAAGGAGGACAGAAAATGCGGAATGAATAAGCGGAGGTTTTTTATCCTCATCGCCTGTATCATTATTGCGATCATCAGTCTTGCTTTGGGGCTTGGTCTAGGCTTGGGTTTGTCCAACGACTCGTATGTTTTCTTGCCATTATTGCTCATTCCTCCCTCCGAACTTCACTAACTGTCTATAGAAATAATGACAAGGCTAACTCGTTCTGTCAAGACAACACCGAGTTGTGTGTTGGCGGTGCCATTAGCCCTGCCTACGTTTCCAAAAAAGGTGCTTTCAACGGCAGTGGCATCGCGCTTGCTGGTGAATCATGGAACAAGAATCAGCGCAGAATCTTCACATTGTTTTTCCAACATCACACAGGTGAAATTAGGTACATGCAATTTGGTAATGATCAGCAGTGGATCGGTGGCACCAAGAGTCAGATTGCTGCCACAGATGCAAAAGATGCATCGCCAATATCTGCTGTATCTTATTACATCAACTCAACTGCATACGTAAGTCAAGCGACTGAATACTGCCCATGCATCTAGCTAACCACACCAAGGTCCATGTTTTCTACATTGACCGCAACAACACGGTCAAACAAGCAACTCATAACAACGACACCGACATGTGGGAGAAGGGTGCAATCAACGACCTCAACCTCAAGGCATTCGATTCCCCATCCGTAGGCCTCCAAGCTTGCTGGGCAGGCGACTACTACGGTGACGACAAGTATACCGGGCTCTCGACTCCCTCTGACCTCAACACCACCAATACTACCAAACCATCTGACAGCCCAAAGGGCATGAACATCTGGTTCGCAACCGACGTCAACACATTCCAGCAATACTCGTGGCGTGCCGGATCCAACAACAACAAATGGAAGAAAGAAGAGGCGTGGAAAAACCTCAACGGCCGCTCCGGCGTAGCCTGCTTCAGCTGGAAGCCAAACTCAACCGACACATACGCCATGATGAACACGCCATCCAACACGGTGCAATTCTACTGGAAAGACACAAACCCCAAGCTGAACTCAACAAAAGACCACCCTATAAACCAGTGGACAAAAGCCGCATCCGCCGACATCGCAAACGTCCATCCCATCACGTCCCTAGGCTACACAAAGTACTTCTACGCCCAGATGCGCGACCGCACCATCAAGGGGTTCAACATCAACTATGCTGCGGAAAACACAACCTTCAATGAACACGACTCATTCTTCGTTTCTGATCCAGCGGGACCGGTAAAAGCCCTCGGCGGCACGCATTTGACGGTTACAAAGTACACGCAGCAGCGTGACGGCAAGGAATTCAACTATTTGTACGTGTTTTGCCAGACCAAAGGCGATGATATTATGGCGTTTGTGAGGGATGAGACGCAGGGACAGTGGTCGGCTGCGCCGTTGAATATCCTTAATGACTGATCGTGCTGGTCACGGGATTGTCGTGTGCATTTAAGCAGATTGTATATGCTTGCGCGGTAGACATGTCTTTCGCTTCGTTTCGTTATTTTTCGTTATTTGGTTCTTTACCTGCAAAGCGTCTACCGGCCATTAGATTTCACTCGCTAGAAGATCCCGTCACTCGACACAAAAGCGTTTTACTCAACGCCACAGGACACATCCTGACATTGTATACAATGCAAATGTACATTACTTTTCAAATGTCACTACGTACGCGCGCTACATATGCCAATGCAATGTTATCAAGTACAGTCTTATCAAGTACAACCTCCCCCACTCTAGCTTTTATCCTTCCAAGCGCCCACTTGATATTTAGTTGTAGGCAGTTTTCCTGGAAGGCAGTTGTGTAAGCGACAGAGCCATATACAGCTAGTTCTAGAAGAGAAGAAGGCAAAAATGACGAGTTCTGTTCCATTAATCCTTGAGCCGCGTACCTGCTATATCCTCTTGGGCGTCTTTGACGAGGAAGCTGCGCAACGATGATTAGACATGACGTTTGTATGGGCAGTGTGCAGAAACTCACTTGTACCACCAGACGGTGGGTACGACGGTGCCGAGATGCCACAAGCTATGGGCATCAATCATGCCCTTCCAAGGCGGGAAATCCAGCAACTCGAGGCTCATGGCCATGATGATCCAGGCCACGCAGAGACCCGGCCAAACCGCCCAGGTGCGCCCAATCTTCTTGTACTGGACGTAGCTGAAGCCGCTCCAGAGGATGTTGGACACAATGCCGACAGCCACGTTGGCCGCCATGTTGTACGTGTAGTCCCATGACCACAGCGAAAGATACAAGACATGCAGCGTGTACAGCGTGATGCACAGGCCGGTCCACAGTCTCAGCAAGCTCTGCTTGCGCGGCTCATTGTGATCGAGTCGGAAGACGCGAATGGGCGCATAGTACATGCCATACAGCACGTTTGCGCCGGCGCCAAAGTAATCCAGCTTCTCCGTGAGGCCAAAGTCTCTGGTGTGGAAGACCATGCTAAACGTCCAGCTCGCGAGCCCCACGTATCCAAACCACAGGTAGTATTTGCGCAGCGGGTACGACGCGGGGATCTTTTCGCGCAGCTGCGACATGCCCCAGTCGTGCGCGAGGTAGTTGAACAGCGAGAAGATGACGCTGAAGGGCTCCTGCATGCCCATGAAGCGGTAGAAGGGCCATTTGCCGTGGAACTGGTATATCGGCTGCATATACGGCGGATCGCGCGCGAGCCGCTGGTTCGTAATGACGTGCTGGCATGTGTAGTCGCATTCCGAGGGACAGTCCCAGAGCAGGAGCCGGCGGTGCAAGGCTGGAGTCGACGGTCAGTTGGGTTGGCGGCCTTCAGGGGAGAGACACGTACGGATTGGTGTAGCGCTTTCACCACAATTCGCTTTTTCGCAGACCTGCGTTCCCCATTGTCAGTAATGTTTTCTGCAGCTCAACGTTTCTCTGTAAAAGCAGCCAAGGCGTACCTGCACGCACTCCTTGAAGTCAGGCAACCTGTCCCCCAAAGAGGCTTGAGCCACGCCACACAGGACGGCAACGACGGCAATGGTTTGCCATGCGGACGCTTTTCGGACCTTCATAGTTCACCGTTGCGAGACTATGCGAGCGTCGTTTGTTGGGTGGTACTGTCGCGTGTACGGGTGTTGCGCCAGCGTGAATCGACAGCGCCTTGGCGAGTGGGTGTTGATCAACACCGTGCTCACCCAGCTAGTCGTGAAATGGCAGCCAGGCATGATATAATTAGCATCTTGAGTTTTATCCCGCATATCCTAGGGTATTTCGCCAGCCAAGGCCAGCATTCGCGCTTGCTGGAATCGTCTAGCCCGACAAGCCACCGTGGTCTCGGAGACCTGTAGTCCCATCTACACGCCATCTATCAAGACACCCTATATAATTGTGCTGCAGAGACAGCTAGCCATCATCGGGCGTATAGCTCAGTGGTAGAGCGCCCGCTTTGCATGTTCTTTGCAAGATTGCGGGAGGTCTGGATTTCGATCATCCATCCGTCCACAGCTGAGTTGAGTCGTTAGACTTGTATTTTTTGTCCCACAACGTCCTCACAGAACTTTGCTTCATACAACATGTTCTTGCCAGCGTATATCTTTCTAGTCCCGTCCGATCTTTTTTAATGTATTTTTCTTAAGTCGTTCCCTTGGTTTGCTGCTTATAGTGTAAAGAATCATTACACAGCGGCGTAACGTCCTCTGGTCCTGGGTCATCCGTTATAGACCATATGACTTTTTTTTTCTATGATTCAAATACTATCTCCCAATTCCTCCTTCTATCAACAAATCCTTTACTTTACTCTCTTAGATTGCCTACTAATTTCTTGGCATCTTTTTCAACGCATATTGCACCTCTTTGACTAGATTGATCTACATTGTATTATATACATAAATAATATGCAGGTTGCAAGTAATCTTGATGTGGTAACGCATGACTTTTACAATATGGTAGGTTATATGCCGAATTTCAATTGAAAAAGTTACTATAATTGTGTGTATCTTGATGTACTACTTACCTCTGCTAAGATTTCATCTCTACTCCTCCCCTCCCTCCTATCTCGTTGATATTTTACATAGTATTTTTTAGAGCTGTAGAATTTATTATTGATATTACACGTAGAATACCGGAGCGAGAGAAGAGAAGAAACCTGCAAGTTATGTTAATTTCACAATAAAATGATGTGTACAAATATACATACATTAGCTGACACCTTGTGCGTCTTCCTAGACATATATCTTGCATTCCCTTCCTTTACCTTATTTCCATACCGCACCAAAACACAGCTAACTACTCTCCTATCTATCTCACTTACACTGCTGTTCTAAAACCCATATACAATAATTGGACCAGCTATGTAGCACCTTCTATTTTTATTCTAGATGCCCGCCTAAAACGCTGGTTGGTGGGGATGTGCTGTAAGTAGGTAGGTAGGTAGGTATGTAGGTAGGTAAAGAGAGAGAGGAGGGGGGCGGAGGGACAATGAATGAGGGATAGATGATTGGGATGATTTGGGATCAATAGGATGGGTGAATGTATGCATGATGCAGGTTGAAATGGAAAACAAAAATAAATGAATGAATCAATGAATATATAACAGAATATATTTTCCAAGTATACGTGTTGTTGTTGTTGGGGAGGGTGGGGAAGGGTTAGTAATATGTGTGCATGTGAGAGATTCAGTATATATATATGTATTCGATGTTATTAAGAAAGATGAGATTGTAAAAGAACAGCATATAATAAATAGCATGTGGGACAAGACAAGAGAAGAGAAGAGAAGAGAAGAGAAGTAAGTGTGGAGTGAAGTTAGTAATCTATGATGCAGAAACGTGGTATATGCGACTAAATTCTTTTTTGTCTTTGTCTAGGTATTTCTTTCTTTTTTTTCTTTTTTTTAAATTCATCTTGATTTATTCGCTTTCTTTTAGGGACGCGTTTTGTGGTCTGCCGTCTGTGGTCGGTGGTCTGTAGTCTGTGGAGGGGGGGTTGGTTTTGGAGTTGAGAGAGAGAGAGAGAGAGAGAAAGTGTGGGGGTACTTACTTGGGTAGAGAACGAGAACCAGAACGAGAACGAGAGCGAGAGCGAGAGGGAAAAAAGGGGGGAGAAGAAGAAGAAGAAGAAGGGGAAAAGGGCAACTCATATAAAATCATGTTGGACCTAGATGAATATTCTCATGATACGGATACCCTGGAATGAATATTCTAGTGATAGGAAAAGGTGGGGAGCCCTCGTGCTTCGTTTGCATTTCGGTTCCGGGGTTTGGTGAGATATTCATTGGATGGAGAATAATTGTCTGAAATTTGTAATATAGATATAGGTAGGCAGAGTGTAGATTAAATGAGTCTCTCATACACGAGGTCTTTAGTATTTGGGGGGGGGGGGTTCGTTTTTTTCTCTGTTGTTCTTCCGTGCGAGAATATTATGCTTTGTTTCTGTAATCTATATGCTCATTTATTTATGTAAGCGTAAAGTCATCATGGAGCAAGAAGAGGGGAATAAAGTGTTTTTGAACTGAAGAAGAAGAAGAAGAAGAAGAAGAAGAAGAAGAAGAAAAAAAAGAAGAGCCCATAGATTCGCCGATGCCAATGATGGAACCATGCCTCCCACATACACATACACACACCCTACAATATCTAAGAAGGGTGGGTAGATGGAGGTTTGAAGTAGTACGCAGAGACGCACATACACACCCACACACACACACACACACACAGACAGACACACGCTTCTTCGTCTAAGCCTGGATAGCCCGTCCCAAAGCACCGCCCGTAAACTGCTGATTTCTTCCACCCCTTGAGCCGCCGCCGCCTCCACCGCCTCCACGACCTCCGCCTCGGCCACCGCCGCCCCTTCCGCCGCGGTTGCCACGTCCTCCTTGCCTCTCAAATGCATTGGCCGTACCTTGTGTGCGTTGCTCGAGCGTCTTTTCGTTGGACTCGATGAGGCCTGAAGCCTTGTCTGACAGGCTGAGAGCCAGTGTTTGCAGTCTTGACAGCTCCACGCCCTTTCGGAAGATGATGGCCGAGTTGACTTGGTCAAGGGCAGCCGCCAGCTCCTCGTGCGAAATCATCTTGGACACAACGGCAGACACCTTGCGCTCTGGCAGCTCAAACATGCCTGCTAGTGTCGAGATGGCAAGCGTGTCGTAGAAAGGTGCATAGGTAAAGAGATATGTCCGCAGACCCTCTTCTTGAATCTGGGCAGAGAGCATCTCCTTGATCTTGTCCGAGTTGGCCATGAGCTCCCAGATCTTGATCGAGTTGATAAACTCGGCAGCCTTCTTCCACTCACCGGCAGACAGCGCCTTGGACGCCTGCATGACGTGGTCGCGCGTGTTCTCAGGAGGACCAGTGAAGATTTGACGCTCATGGTACTCCAAGAGACGGCGGTAAGTCTTGCTAATCACCCGCTTCCTGAGGTCAGGCGACGAGCCAAGTTGTGCGAGCAGAGGAATCTCGAGCAACATGGAGCACGTCAGGTAGACGCACTCGAGGAGCTCAAGGTTGATGTGCATGTGGAACGGAAGCTGTCGTTGGCGCTCAAGACGCTCCTGCTCGGGCGAGATTTGCGAGTATCGCTGCATTTGCAGACCCTGTGCGAGAAGCTCCTTTTGCCTGTTGCTACCACAAATCTCCTGCAGAGATGTTTGCGCCTCGTAGACCAGACCAGCACGGAAAGCACAGAGACCGACTTGGACGAGTGCACGGTTGAACAGGATCTGCGTGTTGACGTCAAAGTTGCTGATCGTCTCCTGCAGATGCGACATGAGCATCATGTCACGTGCCTTGTAGTACTGGTCGTGCAGAGACAGGAAGTAGATCTGGCACAGCATCGCGCGGGCACGGATAATGCCCTCGCTGTTTTGGAACAGGTATGTGCACAGCGTCTGCACGAGCGAGGCTGTGTCGTTGGAAATGGCACGAGGGGTGATTTCAGAGTCGAGGGTGTCGGGAATAGCCTTCCACACATTGTTCTCGAGGATGGTAATGACTTGCGAGGGCTGGTAATGTTAGTGCGAGTAGATGGGTACTTGCCAGTGTGCTTACCTTGAAGTAGACGTGTTCCAATCTCCGCATGACGATGCGGTTCAGTGGCTCTTGCGGCAGCTCCAGGCTGGCGTTCTTCTTCAAGCTCTCGACGTACACGAGGGTGCGCACCAGCTGGGCATACAGCAGCGCCTCGTCGGTCAACCGCTCAATGTACTCGGACGTGTGCGGGTCAATGTGCTGGAGAGAGCGAGTGAGCTCGTCATCGAGCCTCTCGACAAAGGAAACAATGCTTCCTGGGACGCGGAAGATCTCGCCCGGTGTGATGGTAGGCAGCTTCTCGTCGTCCTCCCACTCCTCGGCGTTTTCAATGACAACAATCTCGTTGCTGTCCTCGAGGATCTTGAGCAGCTTGCCAAACTCCTGGTCGGCCCTGGTACAGTCAGTAGGCAGCTAGTGGCAGTTCGGGCTACACTCACAGCTTCCATTGGTCCTGGTGCATGTGGCTCGCAGTGCCGCTTGTCAGGTCAAAGCGCGTGGAAATGAGCGTCAACAGAATGCGGACCCGCTGGTAGTCGCTGATGGCAACGTCAAACAGCCTCTCCAGCGTCCGAATGTGCTCCAGCTTGTCCGAGTTCTTGCGACCACGCTGCTCGACAATTGCCCGCAGGTGCTTGAGGATGCCCTCGGGCGTGTACAGGACTGCCTTGCCACCAGCGCCGACGGTGATGAATCCGTCGTCTGTCGCCTGGTCCACAATCTCGGTGCCGAGCTGAGGAATCTTGCTCTTCTTCTTCTTCTCCTTTGGCGCCTGGACGGCCTCCTCTTCCTCCTCGCGCATGAACTCGTCCTTGTTCTCTCGGTACGCATTAATGTCCTTTTCGTATTCACGGTTGTGCTTCTTGATCTTCTGGCGCACCGCGTTGAAGCCACGGCCGTTGACGGCGTTCATCTTCTTGGGCGTCACCTTTTGTTTTTCGTGGGTCTCGATGACGGCCGTCTCGAGGTCGGCAATGGCCTGGATGTACAGCTTGGGGATCTTGCCATCGTTCTGCTTGATCAGCGTAGGCACCTGGCGGATGAGCTTGTCGAATTCTGTCCACGTTCCATGTCAGCACACACACACACACATGGGCAGATACGCTCCGCCTTCAGAGATACACATACGCTCGGAGATGACGGCCCAGTCGTTGATGCGCTGCGCATTCTCAATGAGCCGTATCGTCGCCTCGAGCTCGTCGAAGCGCTTGTCCTTGGCACTCTTCAGCACCTTGTTCACATCCTCGTCGTCGCTCTCGCTCTCGCTGTCGGCGTCCTTCAAGAAGCGGGCAGCGCCCACTTCCGAGCCCGAGTCCGAGGAATCGTCGTCGTCCGAGTCGTCGTCGTCAGAGTCCTGCTCGCTGTCCTCCTGCTCAGACTCGTCGTCGTTGGAGTAGAGCTCCTCCTCGCTGGACTCGTCCGAGGAGCTGTCACTGGCGGCAAAGAAGCGGGACGCCATGTTTGCTGGTCTCGAGAGTAGAGATTTGCCCGAGGGATCGAGGGGTTTTGGTGGGTGGCGGGCGCCGTGTGGTGTGGGTTGACTGGGAGTCACTGCCGCTTTGCCTGCGTTGCAACTTTCCCACTCGAATTTCGAGCCAGCGCTAGGCCATGACTGTGTGCCCCGCGCCTAACCCAATCGGGACGCGAACCTCGTCCCTGTCCTTGTCCTTGGCCTCACACGCACTCGCTCTCGCTCTCATGGCCGCGAGCCCACCACGACATGTGCACCAGCAACAACGGGAGGAGGGGTATTCTGTATTTCCGACCAATTCTGACATGCGACCATCGCCTTTTGGGAATGCTAGTATCCACGACAATGCAAATCATGACAAACAAGCCAACTTCAACACACAACAACGTGGCTACAGCGACATACGTAGCCAAAAAAGAGGGTTTGCGAGAAGGTTACTAGAATTACACGTGCCGCCGACCACCACCACATCCTCAACTGCTCAGGACACTGGCCATCGTCGAGTGAGATGCTCCAACGGTGCCACTCCTGCTGCCGCACATGGGGAAACCCAGTCGGTACCGCCCGGGTACCGCCCCGTCCAGACTTGGCTTGTTTCTTCCGTCAATTTTGGTGCAATCCGCAGCCATCAGCCTGATTCCCACGAGCGCCGCCGTGATGCCATCCAAAGCCAGTTGAGTGGGCTGTACATTGCAGCATGTGCCATGTGCCGTGGCCTGCTCCAGACCGGCCTGGACAATGTGCGGCCCGCGCGGTCCCTCCGAGTCCTGCTCTTCGCGTCGATAGCATCATACTGCCCAACTCACACCATAGACAATGTTACTGACGGAACAACTCCAGGGGGGGGGGGCAGGGGGAGATATCAAGAACAACTCAGAACGCCGCATCTCTCCATGCCGCACACAGCGCCATTTCTCTTGTTTTGTATATCAATATCAGGAGCCAGCCCATCATTGCCAATGATTCTGGCCCACAAAGCCTTCCTCGAGCGTGCGGTCTTCCAGGTTCCGCACAAAGTTGTGGTTCCGGTTCGAGTTGCCTGCACGAGATCCTCTTCGCCTGGCACTGCTTGCGCTTTCGGGAGCGCCATCCGGAGGGGGTGGGTAGTATGCTGGCGACGGTTGCAGACGCACCGGCGCATTGGGATCCAAATGACTCATGACCCTCTGCAGCGCAGGCGGGATGCCCGATTGTCCCGACTGCTGCTGATCCATGGTCGTTGCTCGCTGGCGCCCAGCACGGGTCGTGGCCTGTGCATACAGGTTCTGAGGCTGGTTGTATTGCCGCGGCTGCTGTGGCTGCATCATGTTCATGGGCTGACTGTATTGCGCTGCCTGGGCGGGGTAGGGTGGCGGTGCGCCTTGGTGGTTCGGCCCGTACATGTTGTACGGGTTTTGCTGGGCTTGCGGGTTCTGTGCGGCGGCGTACTGGTTCATCTGCATGTTTGCATACGCGGCGTGTTGGGCAGCCTGTGCTTGTTGCTGCTGCGCGACCGCTTGCTGCTGCTGCTGCTGTCGCTGTCTGCTCATGCCCTCGTATCGCTGTTGCTCCTGGACACCCGGTGCTGGCGATCGGCTCGAACTAGACTTGAGCGTCATTGGCGGTACAAATGGCCCCGTAAACTTGGCCTGTGTGATGAACGGATGAAGTTTCGCTTGCGCAGGCGTCCAGCGTTCCAGAGGGTTGAGATTGAGCAGTCCCTGGGCGAAATCGATAAAGGCAGCCCGATTGTTCATTTCTAGCACGCGTTAGCCACGGAAGCTCCACACACACTCCAGAACGCTTACCTCGCTCAATCTCATTCGACTTCATGTTCTTCCGCGGCATTGGGTAGTTTTTGATAATGTCTGGCAGCGTCGTGGCGGAGAAGTACTTCTTGCTGGGCTGTTCCTTTGTTCCGTGTTCTCGCGAATACTGCTCCATGGACTTGAGCCGGTACTGCTTGCGGCCGTACTCGTCCTGCGACTTTTCAAAAAACTCTCCCGATTGCTTGCCCATCTCCAGCATCCAGTGCGGCGGAAGTCCAAGCATCTCCGTTATTCTCGAAACCTGGTTGTATTCGGAGGAGCCGGGGAAAAGCGGCAGACCGAGGAAGAGTTCGACAACGATACATCCCAGGGACCACATATCGATGGCGGCAGAGTATGGCAGGCCGAGCAAGACTTCTGGGGACCGGTAGAATCGCGACTGGATGTACGTGTATACGGTCTGGCGTTCGTCGCACGCAGAACCAAAATCGATAATCTTGATAATCGGGCTTTCGAGGCTGGCACACGGTTAGCTATGTGCTATGACCCGAATGCGGCTGTACGTACTTCTTGAGCAGGATGTTCTCAGGCTTCAAGTCGCAATGTATGAGCTTGGCCTTTCCGAGCAATGCCAAACCATTGATGAGCTGCTGCGCAAACACGCGCACCAGGGTGGTCGACAGTCCGCGGAACTGGTTCTGCTTGATCAATTCATAGAGGTTGACGCTCAAGAGCTCAAACACAAGACACAGATGTTGCCTGTGGATAAAGGTATCCTTGAGCCTCAGCAGGTGGTGGTCATCGTTCTTGTCCATCTGCTTATTCAACTGTGCCCTGTTAGCACCGCCCAATGTGTCTTAGGAAGAAACACGCACCAAGTCAAGTACAGATACTTCCATCATACTCTGATTGAAGTATGCTGTGCGGTTCTTGATCACCTTGACCGCCACCACCTCCTGCGTCTTCAAGTTCTGGCACTTGACGACCTGGCCAAACGTTCCCTGGCCCAGCACATCGAGAATCAAGTAGCGGTTCTTGTGTCCAGACTCTTCCGATCCCAAGATGTCGTTGACATAGAGAATGTAATCGCTGTCCTCGTTGTCGTAACCGTCGTTCTTGACTCCTTTGCTGGGCTTGGTGAGAACACGGCGAGGATTGCGCGAGGATTGGTAGTTGAATCCGCCGTTGCACAACTTGTACGTCATGGGCAAATGGGCGGTCAGCGCTTGCAGGGGCTGTGGGGCAGGGTCAGTACATTTCGCCTTGTCAGAAGCAGACTAGACATACACTGATGAAGCCTCCTTCTGGATTGGCGCGACGAAACGGCGGCTGGGCATTGATCTTGGGCTGCAGGTCGGCCGTGTTGGTGACCTTTTCGAATCGGGGAACAGGCCCGCGGCCCATGGGCAGCGGCGGGGGGTTGGAATTAGCATTAGAAGCAGTGCGCGGCGAGCGGGCTTCTCTGTTGTAGACAGCATTGAGCTGTACGGTCGCAGACTGCGGGTAAAAGTTCTCGGGGCTCATGTTGGAGGACTGGATGGGCGGCAGCTGGGGCGCATGAGGGCGCGAGGCTAAAAGCAAAACAGTGATTAGTATACAGGCGCCCCAAGGATTCATTCAGGCTGGTACGGGGCACATTCGACATACATGGTGGAGAGTAGTAGCTGCTGGGAGGCGACATGTAGGGATTGGTTCGCGAGGGGCTCTGGCGGCTGGTCTGGGTCTGAGCCTGTTGCTGGGCCTGGGGATTGAAGCTGGTGTAGGTCTGACCGCCCTGCTGGGGATTCGCCGAGTAGGGCGACGTGGGCGAGAGGTTCATGGGCGAATACCTGCGCGCGGCGGCACTCTCCTCGTGCTGCTGCATGTACTGCTGCGAGTGCCGGGGCGGCTGCTGCTGCTGCTGCTGCTGCTGTTGTTGTTGTTGCTGCTGGGACGGCGGTTGCTGCGGCTGTGGCTGTTGCTGCTGGCCGGGGCGCGCCATGTTCAGGCGGGGCTTGTAGGCGTCCTCCATGGGCACGTCGCCGTCGCCGTCGTTGTAGTCGGGGCCGCGGGCAACGGAGCCGGCATTGGAGTTCTGGCGGGAGGGGGTAGCATACGAGTCGTGCTTCATCTGCGAAGACACGGCCGGGTCCCGTGAGGCGTGGGGCGGCGATTGCATCGTGTGCGAGTAGCGGGCACTGGGCGTGTCTGAATAGGCAGTCCACTGGGGCTCCATGACGTCGGGGCGGTGGCTGGGGCCGAGGGGACGGGAGAGGAGGGGGGGGAGGAGAAATTAGGGTGCAGGCAGAGAGCGACGGAGTCGCAGAGGGAGACGTGGTGCAGCCTGTCACTACGAGCGGTGCATGCCGATGCAACCAGACCTAATGCGCGCGGGCGGTCGGGCGGTGATGGGTGAGGGCGAGAGCGAGAGCGAGGGCGAGGGCGAGAGCGCGTGGTCGTGGTCGTGGGCGTGGGACTGTGTCGGGCGGGATAGTGCACGTCAGGTCGCCGTTAGGTTGAGTTAGCTGCGAGTTGGGTCGACGTTGGCCGTGGCGGGGTGCGTGTGTTACGTGGTCAGCGGCTGTTGATGCCCGTCGCTTCAGCAGGGGGGGGGGAGAAGAGAGAGCGCGGCCGTTGCAGAGAGGAGAGAGGAGGGCGAGGCGAGGGCAATGATTTCACGGCGAGGATTCAAAAAGGATGGGATTGCAGGTCAGCGAGGCGCTGAGGTTGGCGCCGTTGCAGCATCCATGAATTGGGCTCATGGGCTTGGGCGCGCTAGTGACGAAAGCGGCCGCCTCCTCATGCCCATGACGGTGTGGGGTGAGAGAGAGAGAGAGAGAGAGAGACACGCTATGCCATGCCATGCCATGCCATGGCTACGCCCACGCCTGTTCTCTCCCGTGCCTTGGGCTGGCGCTGTGCCGCTGCGGCTGAGAGAGAGGCAGACAGGCAGATGGAGACGAGTATCCACTCGGTCGCTGGCGAGCAGCAGAGAAAAAAAATAGGCTTATCAGGACCCCACCTGCTGGTGCTGCTGGTGTTTGCATACAAACACACACATATGTATATATATACATATATATATATATATATATATATATGCACAGAGAGTGCGAGAGAGACAATGGCGAGAGGCGGCGTTTGCAGCCATTGGAGCCATAACATGCATTGTTTGGAAGCGTGTCTGGGCAGGGAATGGCTGCAATCAGCTGTGTACAGTAATCAGGCAAGCAGGTAATTCCAGGCCGGGCACCGCACCCGCGCCAAGCAAAACAAGCGATCATGACGCGACTCGAACTCGAGGCCGGCCGCCGCCGCCAAACCAAACACGCAATCACCGTGGCACTCGCACTGGCAGTCGCTCTTGCGCAATCTGACAATAAGGCGTCATAGCCATGGTCCTATAGTAGTAGTAGTAGTAGTCATCATAGCCACAGTACACCTAGCACTGCCACATTCACCTGCTGTACTGCCTCAGTCGCGCACCTCATACCCGCCCAGCACATGGCCGTTGTCCCACGCCGCCGCCTTCTCAAACAAGCTCCTGACCATCTCCCCCCCTCGCGTCGCAAGCACCGAGAGAAGCGTGTCGCTCAGCTGTCACGTCTGTTAGCCGCGCCAGTACACCAGAGGCCTCGCCCGCCAAATCACACTTACGCCATGCGTGCTCTCGCAGCATCCTTGCAGCCACACGCCCGCGCCCTCGCCCACGCTCTGCTCTGCAAACTTGACCCGGTAGTCGCGCTGCACCTGCCACTTGGCGCCCTCGACCTCGCCGCCCGCCATCACGTGCCGCGCATCCTGGAGCAGCGTCTCGTGCACGTCGCGGTAGTAGCCCGTCGCCACAAACACGGCGTCCACGTCGAGCGTCTCTCTCTGCTCCGCCGCCCCGGCCTTGTCCGAAAAGTACAGCGGGCTCGAGTCCTGCACCTGCAGCCGCACTCCGCCCGCCATCACGGGCGACTCGCTCACCTCCACCACCCGCCGGTACGGCATGATGCGGTGCGGCCAGTGCGCCTCCTCTGCCGCCGTGTTGCCATGGCGGATGCGTTGCATGTACAGTGTTTCGTAAATGTGCTCGAGAAGAGGCAGCCGCACAACGCCGTAGTTGGTGCCCTTGTCCTCGACTAGCGTCGTCGCCCGCACCTTGGGCGCCCGGTTGTATGTGCAGTCGGTCCGTGAGGGGTTGAAGATCTCGTTTACGCTGCCACATGTCAGCCTCTTCCATGACATGCCAGACCTGGCCTGCCAGCAATGTTGCCGTGATACTTACAAAGGCGAGTCGTCGCTCGGCCGCAGCGCCCCTCCCTTGATCAGCAGCCGCGTCTGCGAGTTGGGGTAGTTTGCGTGCAGATAGTCGAAGATCTCGGCCGCGCTCTGCCCGTTGCCCACCACAGCCACCTTGTACGGCGCGTCGTGCTTCTTCAGAATCTCCTTGCACATGTACGAGAACTTGGACGAGTGGATCACTCGGGGGTGGTTGGTGGGAAACGGCGCGGGCATGTTGGGTCTGCCTCCAGCAGCAATCACCACATGCCGTGCTCTCCGTGACTCGGTTTGGCCCGTGAGGTGGTTGACCGACGTCACGCTGAACGCGGTAATCTCGCCGTTGGCCGACTTCTCGGGCATCACCTTGACCACTTCCTGGCTGTAGGCCACCACCTCTTCGAACCAGCCAGCGCACCACTTCATGTAGTCCTCGTACTCGACGCGCGCGGGCAGAAACGTGTTGAGGTTGGCAAACTCAATCAGCCGGTCCTTCTGGTGCAGGTAGTTGATAAAGGTAAACTCGCTGCGCGGGTTCCTCATCGTGGCCATGTCCTTCATAAAGGTGATTTGCATCTTTGCGCCCGGGAGCAGCATGCCCGCATGCCACGCAAACTGCGGCTGCTTCTCCAGGAAAGCCACCTTGGGCGCCCGGCCCTGCAGGCCCGGGACATCAGCGAGCGAGGCATCCGTACCGTCCAAGGCATCGTGCAGAGCCACGCCAATGGCCAGAGACGCCGGCCCAAAGCCCACGCATATCAGGTCGTGGAGCTCGTCCTGCGGGGTATATCGGAGGTGGGATCGCTTCTCCAGAGCGGGGAACTGGCTCTCGTCGAGGTTCTCCGTCAGGAAGCCATCAAAGGCCTTCTGCACCGCTGGCGCTGCGCCACTCGGCGAGCTCGACGATGACAGGTCTGCGTGAGGACTCATGCTGCGGATGCTGACGTGTGTGTGTGTGTGTCGAGTAATGCAGACAGGCAAGACACTGGTACTGCTGCTGTCAGTCTGGCTGCTCGTGCTGTCAAACCATGGCCCCGCCGTGGCATGATGCATGGATGCGTACCCTAATACTTGTCACGGTGACGGTTGATGCTGGAGTCGTGTGTGCGGACGGGTCGACTGCAGGTCACAGAGGCTAGAAGCGCCTGGAGTTGGCAGACCAGCTTGTCAGCGGATTTATCATATCAGATGGATTGGGCCATGACGTCTACACTCGACACGGACACGGACGGGCCAGGGAAGGGAGAGAGAGAGAGAGAGAGAGAGAGAGAAGAGAAGAAAAAGAGAGAAGGGAAGAGTCTGCGTGGGACAACTTACACGCTCAAGTATGCAGCCCTGGGCACACGGCGAGGAAGTGATTGTCGAGCAAACAGCTGCCGCCGCCGCTCATAATATGGGCGGCGGCCATTGTTTCTGTGCCTGGCGACCCAAGCCGTGGGCGGGGGGGCGTTTCTTGGGCCCCCTGCAGCGCTCGTCAGAGAATGGTCCGATACACGTTGCGCAGGCCGGCGTAGAGGCGCTGGGCGGGCCGTTGCAAGGTGGCACTACCGTGATGCCATTCGCTGGGCTTGGGGATGGATGGCGGGCGGCGGGCGATGAGGCCCTTGTCGCTGATCGTGCGCCTCGCACCATCTGATAAGATGGCCGGCTCGCCGCCAGCCCGCGCGCGCGCATAAGAGGGCGCAAAAATTTTCGGCGTCGCCCCGCTGCGCTTGGCCCGGCTCTGCTAGAGTTGGTGTGCGCCGTCCGTATGCGGCGTGGGGTGGTGGAGAAGGCGCCCGGGCTGAGGGCGCGCGGAGATCAGAATTATCAGATGGAAATCATGGCTCCATCTGATTAGATGAAGAGATTTCCTGCGACTTCGGAGCGCCCTCGGCTTTGGCTGGCCTGCCCTTTCACCTACACCCACACCCACACCACTACTCGATACTTGCATGCTGCTGCGGAGCAATTGCTGCCATGGGCTAGGATGCAGTCACCGCTGATCCCTTGGCCGGGCATCGTGGGTGGTGGTGGTGGCCATGCCATGACGAAGAGGCGTCTGCCGTCTGGTAGAACACCACATGGCTGACCTCATGGGCATATATACTCATGTACGAACAACAACAACAACAATAACAATAACAGGCAAAGAGCATAGTAACCCCACCAAGTGAAAACAATCGGCTACAAGGCTCGGCTAATCCGGTCCAGCCAGACGCCTCGGTTCACGTCATGTCTTACGTAGGAGCCCTTGCACTTGCACTTGCTTAGCCACCACGCCTTGTTCCGTATGCGTATGCACCCAAAGTGGACCTCGACCATAGCTTAGCACCACCCACCCCCCCCCCCCTTCCTTCACCCCCGCCAAGTCTTGCGGCACTTTCTGGCCTGCCCTTCGAATTGCCTAGATGCATCCCATAGGGCCGACACTCCAGGGCCAAGATCCATCTTAATTACCTCCTAACAAAACTCGACTACCCTCACGCTATCAGATGACCAAAACGGCAACCAAACGCCGTCGGTATGCAATGAGCCCCCCCCCCTACCGGCTGGATAAATCCATAACCAAATACAAATACATGCGTATATAATACACCCCATGCAAACGCAGAGTCAACAATGCCCTTGCACACTAACCGCACACGCCGGCACATCCGTATTCACTCCCGTATTCACTCCCGTATTCACTCCAGCTCCTGAGTCGCTACCATGGCTGCATAGATGCCTCCGAGCGCAACAAGCTCTTCGTGTCTGCCCTGCTCAACAATACGTCCCGTGTCAAACACAAAGATGCGGTCTGCATGCTGTACGCTAGCCAGCCGATGCGCAATCATAATGGTCGTTCGGCCCTTGGAAGCTGCCGCAATGGCTCTCCGTATTTCCCGCTCAGTGTTTGCATCCAGCTGCGATGTTGCTTCATCCAGCAGCAAGATCTCAGGGTCGCGAATGAGTGCTCGTGCAATGGCGAGACGCTGACGCTGACCACCGGAGAGCTTGGAGCCGTGTGCTCCAACCTCCGTATTGTACCCTTCTGGCAAGCTCATGATGAAGTCGTGAAGTTCGCACTCTTTAGCAACGCGTTCTATGTCCGCATCGCTGCTGCTGGTGCCCGGACGATTGCCGAGGCTAATGTTGAATTTGACAGAGCCGGGAAACAGATCTGGTTCTTGCTCCTGCTGCGAGTCAGCTCGCCAGCCTCATAAGCTCAAAGGCAATCGCAACCAATTCGCAAAAGAAACAACACGTCAACTTACCACAAGCGCTAGACGCGCACGGTGATCACGAACAGCTTCTTTGCGTATATCCTGGCCATCGAGATAGACCTGCCCGCTGGTAGGATCAAAGAATCTCTCGATCAAATGGATCGTACTGGACTTTCCAGCCCCTACGCCAAAGTCAGCAACGCCCGGCCGTCTCTTGAAGCCTCTTACCTGAACGGCCAACAAAGGCCACATTCTCGCCCGTTCGGATCTGAAAAGACACGTCGTTCAACGCGGGGACAGTCGGCCGGCTCTCGTAATGGAGGCTGACATTGCGAAATTCAAGCTCCCCTCGAACACCGAACGTACCATACGAAGATGCAGGCCCAGACAGCAATGCTCCCGAATCCGGTCCACTAGTAGTCGTCGAAGATGGGCACTCGGTCATGATTGTCGGCTTCTCGTCATGCAGCGAGAACACATTTTGCGCAGCAGCCTTTGCTCGTGTCACTTCTGGCGCCAGACTGAAAAGCTGCCCTGCAGACTGTGCCGAAAATAGCAACGCTGGAAGTACGATGAAGAAGTCTCGCTGACTGTAATTACCGCTGCGTACTTGCTTAGAGCCCCTGGAGAACGTGTTAGAAGTCGCTCTTGTCTTTGCGTACATACCACCACAGTGAAACTCCGCAATAATCAAGAGCGATATACTTACCACCAATATGCCAGAGAGTAGACAAAGTAGGTAATCGACAAGGAAAAGGCAAGCAGGATATTTCCGAGCATGCTGAACCTGAGGTGGTCCTCGTACGGCTTCCTGATCGCTTCCTTGTAGGCCCAGAAAAAGTGATCTTCAAGACCAAAGACGGCAACAATCTGCATTGAAGACGTTGCTTCAGATGCTAAGGCTGCTGCATCATTGTATGCCGTTTGGTGGTGATCCTCTGCTATGGCTAAGATGCGGAGACGGAGGAAGCCAGCGAGGAGCATGACGGGTACAGCTGCCAGCAGAACGATGGCAATCTTCCAGGCGACAATGTGAGCCAGAATTATGCCGCCTATTACCGACGTGGCAATAGAAAATATTGTCCCGAGTATCACACCAGATAATCCGCTGATACTTCCACTATCCGAATTCAAACGTGACATGAGCGCGTGATACGAATGGCCCGGCTTGGAAAACCAGGCAATGTCCTGTTGCAGTATTGTTCGGAAGGATACGTCTCGCACTTTTAGAGTGAGGTTCTCCGAAACAATGCCGAAAGCGGTTTTCCCAAAAGAATGAGAGGCCAAAGCGATGAGCGCAAGGGCGAAGAAGAGTAGACAATAAAACGATATTTGACGTGTGACATCATCAGATCCGCTGGTATCGTTCAAAAGCTCCACCAGGTTGCCGAAAATGAGCGCCTCTCCAATAATGACGGCACCGCTGAAAATCGAAGAAATGAGACCAACAACAATGGCTGGTGCTTCGCGGCGACTCAACGCTAGTGATCTCCCAATTAGTTGAGCGGCTTTCATTTTCGGCTGGTTGCTTGTTTGAGTAACGGCTGCAGAGTCTGAATCTTCGATACCTGGGGGATGTTAGTGAAAGCGCTCATAGAATATTGCCAGTGACGCACCGTTTGGAGCTCGCGCGTCCTCTTTATGCGAGCAGCGCACGTTGGAGCGGATAGATGAAGCTGCAGAGGGATGTCCCTTTTCGAATTGCTGTGCTCTGATCAGCTCGGCATATGTCCCATCTTGCTGTTTAACAAGAGTTTCATGCCGCCCGTCTTGCTCAATGGTCCCATCTCTCATTACAATAATGCGGTCAGCATCCCTCACTGTCGCGAGTCGATGCGCAATGATGATGGTGGTTCGACCGGTGGCAGCGGAGGAACGCTTCAAATTTTCAAGTACTATAGCTTCGCTGGTGCCTGCATGGAAGATCTCATTAGTACCGATTCGTCTTTGAGTATAAACTGAGCAGGGCGTGGCTTTCCAAAACCATGCCACTCTCGGTGTGTGAGACGTATGTGAGATGGTTGAATAAAAAGCTGGAGTACAAAATACTGGCACGTACCATCCATTGCACTGGTAAATTCGTCTAAAAGAAGCAGAGCCGGGTTTCTCACCAAAGCTCGAGCCAGGGTGATACGCTGCTTTTGGCCACCAGAAAGCTGGGATTGCGGGCCAGATCCAATCTGAGTATGGATTCCGTCGGGAAGACGGTCGAGGAAGTCGCAGTATGCCTCGTCTGCCGCGGTCTTGCATCGCTCAAGAATATCTTCCTCGGTGAGATATTGAAGCTCACTTTGGGGAATGCCGTGTTTGATGTTGTCGAGGATGGTTCCTGTGAACAGAACTGGGTTTTGCGTGACAAGCGCAATATGTGAGCGTAAAGTGTGAACATTGAATGATTTGAGGTTGTCTCTTCCAAGGCTTATGTTGCCATAGGTAGGGTCGTACAGCCGCAAAAGCAACGAAGCGATGGTGGACTACTTGGAGTCAGCATGTGCTTTGAGTGTTTTCATCAAGAAATTTCCCTACTTTGCCGGATCCCGACGGGCCAACGAGGCCTGTTACTTGTCCAGGCTTCAGACAAAGATCAACGCTGTCTAGAATCCGAACAGTAGGCCGAGCAGGGTAAACAAACGAAACTGCAGAGAGCACCAACTCTTTTTCAAAATGGGCTTTTTGAGCAGGCTTCCCTTTGGCAGAGTATACATCAATCTCCGAGGTTGGGTGGTCGAGCACATCGGATACTGCAGCACCGGCGGCAGCAGCCATGGCGAATGTCTGTATAAAAGGCCCAAACGAGCCAACGACAAATGAGGCATCGAGAATGAGGAAGACGACGGCGTAGATGGTTCCAGCTTCGGCGCTGCCATGGCGCAAGTGATCGCCGTACCAGAATGCAAGGGCGTTAGTTGCATAGGCTACAAAATAGACAGAGCCCAACATGAGGGCGCCCGCAAAGCTTTTCTTCACGCCAATTCTCAGTGCGGAGCGAAGGTAATGCACATGTTCGTCGCTGAGTCGCTCAAAAAGACCAAAGGCCTGCACAATCTGCACTGCTCGAATAGCACTTTCTGCAACAGAAGACGCCTTTTCAGTATATGCTGAGGCTTGCTTGGTCAGATTGGACACGGTCTTGGTACCGAAATAAACAACAAAAGCCATTGAAGGTATGACTGTCACGAACCTGTGTTGATCAGTCAATTGTTTGCGCTTGGTTACTGATGGCAATTACATGATTCCAGTGAGCTTTGCATTGAGCGTGAAGCCGACGGCGAAGGCAGAGATGAAATAGCTGATTGAAGCAATGAACAAGCCGACTTTCTCAGAAGTTCCGAGCTGGATGGTCTGCGTCTTTTCGGTAAGGATGCTGCACAAGTCGGGCGAAACAGTGTCTGTCAAGCATCATAAGTCCAAATATCCTGCATGTACAGCTTTGCAAACACAACGCACCATAGTAAGCCATGTCCATGCCGAGAGCACGGTGCAGAAGCCTTTCTCTAGTCTTCCTGCTGACGCGCTCGCCCGTGACAGCCCAGCACACAGCCCAGCCCCACGTGACGACGAAATAGCCAACGGCGACTGTCATGAGGCGGAAAAGCAAACGTTTCAGTTCGTCTGCATTCGGGGGGAAATTGTTGATGATGCGGCCGAGGATGACGCCTATCAGCGGTAGTGGCAGGCCTGCCAGCACGGCGAACATGATGGCCAGGGCCAGGATGGCCTTTGAGCTGGCATCGTCCAACTGTCTATACAGCGTAAAGTAGGACGTCTTGAAGGGATTCAGGCCAAGAATCTGGCGGATGAAGCGCTGGCGGAATACGGTGGCGCTCTCGAAAGCTTGAGGCTGAACCGTTGCCAAGGATGGCTCGACGTGCCGCTCCCATTGGGTGCTTTGGCGAAGAGAGCGTCCATCGTCAATCTCGCTGTCTTCAGAATCCAGGAGAGGCTGGCTCTCGGAGCTCCCGTCGTCTGTATAGTCTGGCATGGCGACACGCGCCCGGCGTCATGGAACGCGACGGCTACGAATCCAGGCCTGCGGGCGGTCTAGGAAAGGAGTGTGTGCTTGAACTGGCAGGGAACGCAAAGGGCAACAGCAACAACAGCACAATGGCTGAGCCTGATGAATCAACGACGAACCATGGAGATGGAGAGGTGATGGGATGGTTGGTCAGAGTCAGTGCTTGAGGGCAGGCTAGCCCGGCCCGTGCTTAGTGCCCATCTTGGCATCCAACACGGTACGTCACGATGCTGGTGATCACGTGCCATTGCCAGACACGCTCATCTGGCTCGTCTTTTTTCCTCTGTTCTTTTTTTTATTGTTTTTTACGTGAGCAGTGGCAGCAAGGCAGGCAGCGCGTATACATGTGGTTATGCAAGCGGCATGTCGTGCGCATTTGGGCGGCGTTGTGCAGCCACAGGCGGGACGGGATGGGGCAGAGTGCATACATGTACAAGTAATAGGGCTGGCAGCTATTATGTACACAGATGCAGGTGCAAGGCGTGCCGTTGGTCAGACGATGCAGCAATACGACTGCTGTTACGGTACTAGCAGGCGACCAGGCCAGGGGTGCATTCGCATTTGCAGTATTCCATCTGATAATCCTTTTCCGGCAATGCGAGCAGCGAGCGTGCATTATCAGATGTCGGCACGGGCGCTGCCTCCATTTCCGCTCGCAGCCCCGTCTCACCCACACGCACGCACACGCACGCCTACACCCGCCATCTCCACCATCACCACGCCCCCCCCGTCCTGCCCAGCGAACGATGCGACGTGCCGATGTCGCTATGCCGAGTCACACGCGCCTCACCAGACACAAACATGGCTGCGAACCTGCCCTGGGCCAACAGCGTCGGGGCCTGCGACATGGCGCGCCCAACCAGCGAGCTCGAGTGACATGTGGGCGCTGCGCATGTGTGGGCAAGCAGCTATTACTAGCACTAGCGACATGGCATGCCTGTGGTGTGGAGCTCTCTCTCTCTTCGCATGCCTGATTAGGCCTCGTCCAAAAATCAATTTTTTCTTCCGCCCTGGCCCTCCTCCAGTCCGTCCGTCCGCTTGCCGTGCCAGGCCGCATCATCAGCCGTTGTCGAATGACACGTGCATTCGCCAGTCGACTAGCATGTATGACGCCTCTTCGCCCACTACCGACTGCGGACAACGCGCCCATCTTCACGGAGCACCCTACAGTCAGCCATGATGGCGAGGGAATAGCACGTCCACCTTGCTCTCTGCTCGCTGCTCGCTGCTCTCTGCTCTCCGCCGCTCCACGCTCCCTCGCTCCGATCCTCGTGGCCGAGTTTTGCTCTCTATCAGACCGCTTACTCACATTACACGCATACACACACAGCAGAGCACTGCACGCTGCGCCATCTCCAAGACGCGAAGCATTATCCGAGCACAACTCCAGCACCGCTGACTAAGCACCCTCATCACGTGCATGGGCCTGGTGCACACTTGGTCGTGCGTAGGTACTTGGAGCCCCTCGACCAATCAACGTGCTGCTGTTTCTCATCACTGCCATTTGCTGCCAACCACCACCTGCAACCCGCCAGCACTGCAGCTACCGATGCATTTTGCTTACTGCTTCACTTGATTCCGTCTCTTGCCAGTGTTGGGCTTCAGCACTGCCAGCTTCTCCCACGTCGCCCGCTTTCTTCAAGTACACAATACCCACTATAATCCATCCGAAATGGCCCACACGAATCGTGTAAGCCAGCCTTTGTCCATAATAAATGAGCCTCCCTCGATTCTCCATGGCCCGGGCCTCCTCCACGAGCTAATCCCGCGCCTGCACCACGACGCGACCGCCATCGATTTCCTGGAACACGGATCGAAAAGGCGCAGGTTTTCCTACAGCACACTGCACTCTCTGAGCGATGCCTTGGCTGCTAGGATGACAGAGATACTCGCCAGGCTCGAAAGTGCTTCGCCCATTATCCCTGTCTTCTTACCCCAATCCCCAGAACTCTATGTGGTCCTTCTTGCCATCCTGAAAGCAGGAAAGGCGTTTTGCCCGCTCAACCTCGACACGCCCCCGGAGCGACTGAGATTCATCCTCGACGACATATCCGCTAACCTCATAATCACATTTGCATCGTACCATGACTACATTCGAGCAGCTACCACGATTGAAGTTGTATTAGCCGACCACGAACTCCCTAGCTGCAACAGCCATCTCTCCTGTAGCATACCCCAGCCTAGCACTGACCATCTTGCATATGTGCTGTATACCTCAGGGTCCACCGGTCTGCCCAAGGCTGTGAGCGTGTCCCATCGAGCCGTCACCCAGAGCTTGCTCGCCCACGACCGTCACATTCCAGACTTTTCTCGCTTTCTTCAATTTGCGGCACCTGTAAGTGTCCATTTCCAGACTAGTGCTGCCATGCTAACTCGAAAAGACATTCGACGTTTCCATCTTTGAGATATTCTTCCCATGGTTTCGAGGCAAAACCTTGGTTGGCTGTACACGCGCACAGATGCTCGACGACCTCCCACGCACAATAGTCAACCTCGAAGTAGACGCAGCCGAACTCACACCAACCGTCGTGGGCAATCTGCTCGCTGGCCGATCTAGCGTGCCCACTTTGAAGTTACTGCTCACAATTGGCGAAATGCTCACGCAGCCTGTCATCGACGAGTATGGCGGCGATACAACCAAAGAAAGCATATTATGGGCCATGTATGGACCCACTGAAGCTGCAATTCATTGTACCATTTGGCCAAAATTTCCGACGTCTACTTCGACCAGCACGATAGGCCAACCACTGGACACTGTCTCTGCTTTTATTCTTGCACCTTCTACCGAAGCTCACTCCTCGTCCTCAGTTGAGATTCTTCCAGTGGGGCAAGTCGGCGAGCTTGCGATTGGCGGTCCCCAAGTCGCCCAAGAATATCTCAATCGCCCAGACCTCACACGTGCATCATTTGTCGAGCATCCCACTTATGGCCGCCTCTATAGAACTGGGGACAGGGCAAGAATCAATACTCAAGGGCTACTGGAGTGCTTAGGCCGTGTCGTGGCCGGTCAGGTAAAACTGAGAGGTCAGCGAATCGAATTGGGCGAAATTGAGCAGGCGATCATGAGAATGAAGGGCTGTCGCGCAGCCACCGCCATGATTATACAGGAAAACCTAGTCGCCTTCTGTCGCGTCAAACAAGAGGCATCGCGTGCAGATGTATTCGCAACTTGTAAGCGCTGGCTGCCTGCGTTCATGGTTCCGTCGGACGTGTATCTCCTCGAATCGATGCCCCAACTACCCTCGGGCAAGGTGGACAGGAAATCGCTTGAGCATATATACCTGCACTCCGGCTCGAACGGGACGTCGTCAGTGCCGGCAGAGGTTTTAGATGACGCTGTGAGCCACTCAGTTTGGAGTATCGTCAGTCATCACACCACGCAGAGTCTTGGACTAGACACTAATCTTGCTTCTGTTGGACTTGACTCTCTCAAGTCTATTCGAATTGCATCCGCGTTACGAAGAGCGGGCTTCACGCTCGGTGCCATCGAAGTCATGTCCACAGATACTCTTGCAGATCTCATTGAAGTTTGCAGGGAAAGCCAAAAGGCACATGTTCCATGTAGCAACAATGGTTTCTCGGTAGAACATCTCGGTTCTGCAAAGACCCCGCTTGAGCCCTGGCATACTGACATCGCCTGTATAATGCCTTGCACTCCACTGCAGGAAGCCATGCTAGCAGAAACGAGGTCCAACCCCACTGCCTACTGCAACTGCATTGAGGTTGAGCTTTCAGTCGGTTACACGTACGACCAGATTCGAGATGCTCTTCTACTCCTCGCACAAGATACAGAGATTTTGCGCACTGGCTTCTATACTGATGCTCAACATGGGACAATCTTCTCCCAAGTCGTCTGGAACGAGCTGTTAGATTCTCAGATCCGTGAGGTAGCCAACTTCTCTAGAGAGTACTCACTTCAACATGACGATGACTTCCTACGGCCTTTCAGCGTCCAAATAGTACTTCAATCCCAACGGCCTCGCCTCCTGTTTCACATGCATCATGCCTTGTACGATGGTTGGTCTTTTGATCTGCTACTCCACGATCTTGACAAGCGTCTTCGTGGAGAAGTCAGCTTGGCTAGGCCATCATTCCGGGAAGTTGTGAGTTACTACACAGATTACCAACGCTCTGGCACCGACGTAGAACCAAAGAAATTCTGGACTGCCCTTCTCGACGATTATATACCGACTACCCTCCCAAACTACCACGGCAAGCTGGTTCAAAACCCTGCAGTATGTCGAGCTTCTGGAAAATCCAATGTCAGTCGAGGCAAGCTTTTCAAGTGTGCTCGCGAACTCGGCATCAATCCACAGGTCTACTTCCAAGCAGCCACTGCGTACATCCTTAGTCTGTATAGTGGCGTGAACGATGTTGTTCTGGGCAACGTCACTTCAGGACGTACTATACCCGTATCTGGAGTGGAAGATATCATTGGCCCCTGCATTGCTTCACTCCCATTTCGCATCAATTTTGCAGATGCTCGATGTGTTCGAGATATCCTGCACAAGACTCAATCAACGAACCGAGATATTCTACGTCACACTGGGCTTCCCCTGCGCGAGATAGCAAGAGCAGTAGATCTGAAACCTGGAACGCGGCTGTTCGAAGTCTTATTTGTCTGGCAACAGTCCATCGTCTCCGACGATAACGCATCACTTGCTGCAAAAATCGTCGATAGCGCAGACGAACTGGAGTTCCGGATTACACTGGAATTCGAACCAGTCCAAGACCACATTGCGATCCGCAGTACATACGACGCATCAACAGTATCAGACGATCAGATCCAATACTTGTTCCGACAGATTGATGAAGTGGCGCAGATGTTTGTGGCGAACACCAACTACAACATTGCCGAGATCAATCGAGGTTTTACAACCCCGTCCTTGTCTATAGCCAATCCTACGCCAATGTTACAGCATTTCCAGCATGGCCCTTCTTATGCTGTTGAGAAATGGGCCTCGGTGGATCCAAATCGGACTGCTGTAATATTCGGCCATGATGTACATGGGGTGATGAAGGTCAGAGACATGTTGACATACAACGTGCTGAACTTGCGCGCTAACCAACTCGCTCGCGTCCTTGCTGAACACGGGGTGGGTAATGACCAGCTGGTCTGTATCATCATGGAGAAATCGATCGATCTGTACATTTCTATTCTCGCAGTACTCAAGCTTGGCTGCGGCTATTTGCCGCTAGTTCCTGACACCCCAGTCGATAGGATCAAGACGATTTTGACAGATGCTCAAGTCGCAGTATGCGTCTCTGAATCGGCTGTATCAGCTACGCTATGTTTGGATCCTGTCGTCGACGTCATCAACTTTGATCTCATCACACTCTCCGATTATCCTGAACAAAACTTGGGTGTATCATATAACGGTCAGCATCTTGCTTATGCGATATTCACTTCTGGAAGCACGGGAACACCAAAAGGCGTTCTCGTCACGCAGGATAATCTCATAAGTAATCTACAGTATCTTTCAACTGTATATCCGTTCTCCACAAACTCGCGTCTGCTACAAGCTTGCTCGCAAGCGTTTGATGTCAGCGTCTTTGAGATATTCTTCTCTTGGTACGTCGGCATATCGTTGTGCTCAGCCACAAAGGAACACCTTTTTCACGACTTCGAGGCTGCCATCAACCACCTAGAAGTAACACATCTCAGTCTTACCCCAACAGTTGCCGCACTAGTGGATCCGCAAAATGTGCCAAAAGTCGAGTTCCTGGTAACTGCCGGAGAGGCTTTGACAGAACATGTACGGAGAAAGTGGGCAGGTAGAGGATTGTACCAAGGTTATGGTCCTTCTGAGACCACAAACATATGCACCGTAAGACCTGCAGTCACTCCCAACGATCTAATCAACAACATCGGCCCACCATTCAGCAACACCTCAGCACTGGTGCTCGATCCTGAGAGCCAAGCTATCCTACCTCGAGGTGCTGTTGGTGAACTCTGCTTTGGTGGATCTCAGGTATTCCGCGGCTACCTTAATCGGCCTGAACTCAACGCCCAGAAAATTATCACCCATTCAAGTTACGGGAGGATCTATCGGTCTGGTGACATGGGAATTCTTCTTCCTGATGACAGCATTCTCTCAACAGGCCGCACAGACGACCAAGTCAAAATTCGTGGTCAGCGAGTCGAACTGGGAGAAACGACATCGGTCGTACTGGATCATGGAGTCGTCCGAGACTGTGTCACCCTAGCTCTAGACCAGAAGAACACCAAAAAGCTCGTCACTTTCTGGGTGCCTAGTGCAGGTTTGTCAAGTGACTTCAAAAGACTGGAACCCTCAGCCTTCACAACTACAATTTCAGAACTATTCGATCTGTTATCCCGGCGGCTGCCAACATACATGGTCCCTTCCTATCTGGTGCCGATTTCTCGTCTGCCAATGACTCCACAGGCTAAGATTGACAAACGGCTCCTGCAGAGATTGTTCAACAGCCTCGAAGAAGACGCACTGAACCATACGACATATCTCCATGGTATTGATGAGACTTTTCAGGGCAAACTATCATCGCAATGGGATAAGAACGTTGCCCAAATTCTGGTCGAGACACTGGGTGTTTCTGTGAATGAACTCAGGCGAAGCTCTTCGTTCTTCAACCTAGGCTTAGACTCTGTCTCAGCTATCCGCTTCTGTAGTGAGCTCCGAAGGGCAGGCCTGGGCGAATATTCAGTGTCAGAAGTTCTCAAACACCCCTCGATTGCAGGTCTATCATCTCTAAAGCAGTCGAAATCATCGACAATATCTCTGGTCAAAGCATCATCGATAGAACTTTCAAATTTGTTCTCCAGGGATCAAGTTCATCGCATTCGTTTGCATGTTGAGCGGAATGGAGTCCGAGTAGAGAAAATACTCCCTTGCACGCCACTTCAAGAAGCAATGATATCGAGCGGTCTCTCGTCGCTCGGGTTGGCATATTGCAACGTCATGGTCTTCGATGTCAGAGGCGACAGTCGACAGCTTCAAAAATGCTGGGAAGCCATGGTCCAGCGGCACGAAATCCTCCGAACCTGTTTTATCGCAACAGACGATCCATCTTATTCATTTGCGCAGGTAGTTCTAGAAGAGCATGACGTCGTTTGGCACCAGCACATTATGGAGACCGGTCTTTCATCGCGCATCAGTGAGGTTGTTTCGGATCTCATGGCAGCCAGCAAGCCTCCAGTGTATTTTGCACAGGCACAAGAAAGAGATTCCACAAAGTTGCTGTTTTGCTGCCACCATGCTCTTTATGATGGTATTGCCATCTCGACTCTGCTTGCCGAGGTCCAGGAACTGTACTACGGCCGCCAACTACCATCACCCATTTCGTACGAAGTCTACTTGCAGCGCATGCTTGAGCAGGACCTTACAGAGGCGGATAATTACTGGTCTAAGCTTTTGGAGGGTTTCGAGCCTACGTCGTTTCCCACCCTTACTCCGAAAAGAGCACATACAGATCGAAGCTTTTCATCTTCGTCTAGGCGTCTGGATATGCCACTCGAGACCATTCGAAAAGCAAGCCGTGACAGTTCAGTGTCGCTTCTATCGGTTGTACAAGCTGCGTGGACAAAGCTTCTGTACTTCTACACCAACGAAAGCGATGTGTGTTTCGGCAATGTTGTCAGCGGCCGCAGCTTTCCTGGAGACAATCTTGACCGCCTGGTCGCGCCTTGTTTCAACACCTTACCAGTCCGTGCCAATTTTGACTTCAGCAAAAGCAACAACGCCTTGGTACAACTAATGCATAGTCATAGCATTGAGTCGCTAGCATATCAATTGACTCCTCTCCGTCGCATTCAGAAGAACACGCTCAACGAGGGTGGCCGTCTCTTCGACTCGCTTTTGATACTTCAGCAGCCCAGTGCGCCCTTGGATGGCTCTATCTGGAACCTGGAACAAGATTCAGGTGACATGGATCTACCGATAGTATGCGAAATTGTCCAAGACCAGAGTGACGATAGTTTAAGGCTATTACTACACTATCAAGACTCTTTACTGTCCGAGTCAGAGGCTCGTATCGTTACGGAAACGTTTGAAGCCTCCTTGTCATCTCTTGTTATGTCTCCCGATTCACGAGCCGCTGACACGGGAATGTTCGCAGCGAGTCTTCGGGCAAATTTCAACATGGACTTCAAGCGACTACACAGTGTATCTATCTTTCTGCATTCCGGATTCGAGCATATGGCATTGCTCCACCCGGATCGCGTAGCACTCGACTTTTGGCATGGTCATGGAAAAAAGACCACATGGTCTTTCGGGCGACTCAACTCTGAGGCGAACAAAATTGCACATGCGCTCATCAAAGCTGGCGCTGGGCCTGAAGAAGTCGTTCCGATTCACATTGTCAAGAGTCCAGTGTACTATGCAAGTATACTAGGAGTTCTCAAAGCTGGAGCTGCATTTGCACCGGTTCATCCCGAGCTCCCTGAAGCACGCAAGCAACTCATGTTCGCAGAACTGAAACCAAAGCTCGTACTGTGTGACGACAGCTCAATGGTTCCTCAAGATCTTACCGGAGCTACCACTCTCAACGTTGCAGGTCTTGCAGACTTGGAGAGTTTTAATCCCACTGTCGAAAATCTGCAAGATACCAACTTGGCGTATTGTTTGTTCACGTCCGGTTCGACAGGCGTGCCCAAAGCAGTGGGCATGGAACATCGCACTCCTATACAGACGATTGAGAGTTCCAGATCTCTTATCCCTTGGAACCCATCTTCTCGTCTCCTCCAATACGCAGCGGTCACTTTCGATATGTGCTATTACGACTGCTTCCTCGCTTGGAGCTTTGGTTTTACTCTTTGTTCTGCAGAGCAAAGCGATTTACTCAATGATCTTCCAGACGTTATCAACGCTCTTGAAACCGATTTGCTCGACCTTACGCCCTCTGTTGCAGAATCCCTGAAGAGAACCCATATACCAAAGGTGAAATGGCTCTACTGCATTGGGGAAGCTATGACGCCTTCTGTCGTGAGGGAGTGGCAGGGAGCATGTGTCAATTCATACGGTCCGACAGAAGCTGCATTTTGCACCACCATCATTCCTGTTTCTCCCGACGTGAGCACGTCGATTATCGGAAAGCCCTTCCCGACAACTTCATTTGCAGTCTTCTCTGAGCAGAGTGAAACGCCATTGCCCGTTTTGAGTATCGGAGAGCTATATATCGGTGGCGCACAACTCGCCCGGGGTTACTGGGGTAGGACTGACCTCACACAAGAGCGTTTTGTAGAGCGTTATAGTCAAAGATTCTACAAGAGTGGCGACATGGTACGCATGCTGAGCAATGGCGACTTCGAGTTTCTGGGGCGCATGGACGATCAGGTCAAAATTCGGGGACTTCGAGTGGAGCTAGGCGAGATCAACTCTGTTCTTCAAGAGTTGTATCCAGAGATAGCTTCTGTTACCACACAGATTCTACGCAAAGATGCAGCAGCAAAAGAGCAACTGGTTTCTTTTATCAAGTTACGCCAACCGATCAAAGAGAGCGAGGTTCCTAAGCTCCAAGGAAAGCTCAAAAGGCTAGCAAGCACACGCCTCCCTTCATACATGGTACCTCAGTTCTTTCTGGTTGTGGATGAGATACCCAAGTCCATGGCTGGAAAGATTGACAAGAAAGCTTTGGGCACCATCTTCCGACAAGGTACCGATGATACTCCACTCACCAATGGCGTCTCACATACTGCGAATCACCAGTGGTCCAAGGTGGAACTTGAAGTTCGAGATGTCCTTGCACATCTATCAAGAACCCCAACGAGCGATATCTCGCCGACAACATCAATCTACCAACTGGGTCTCGACAGCATCAGCGCTGTTCAGATAGCATCTGCCCTTCGTTCTCAAGGCTACACAGTCAAGGCAACCGACATCTTGAAGCACACTACTTGTTGTGATCTTGCCAAATTCCTGGCTCAAACCCCTGCTTTAGAAACGCTTTCAAGTGCCCAGCTGGATTTCCGACCTTTCGAAAGCAAGCACCGGATGCAGGTGTTGAAAGACCATGGTATCCAGGACAAAGATGTTGCTGCTGTCCGCCCGGCAACCCCTCTTCAAAACGGTATGATATCACAGTTCCTTGAGAAGGAAGGGGCTGTTTATATGAATTACCTCCGGTTGCAACTAGAGCCCGGTGTTGATCTAGAGAGGTTGAGGGCAGCTTGGTGCTCCACCATGAAACGCCACAGTATACTGCGCACTGGTTTCGCTCATGTCAAAGACTCACTTACTTCCTTCGCAATGATTGAATATACCCCAGAATCTGCAATTCCTCCATGGAGCACAACACGGGAACAGGAGAGGGTCGAGGAGGCTGACATGTGGTTGCATGAAACGCGACTCCAAGCCTTTAAGCAGCTTCATCTACCCCCTTGGGCACTGCGCGTCATTCCAAGCGGAGACCACTTCTTTCTTGACTTGGCCATTTTCCACGCTATTTTTGATGCGCAAAGTCTTCAATACATATTCAGCGAAGTTGCAGCCTTTTATAACAGCCAAGTCCTCCAGCCACCGAGTTCTCTGGAGGAAGTCGTTAGTCACATCATCCAGTACAACAAGCAGGACGACAAGAGTGGAGATGCATTCTGGACTGAGATGGGGGAAACTGCGAATCCATCTCGCTTCCCCAATCTGGCTCCTTTGAAATACGATCCAGAAGCTCCCTTAATATGTACTAGACGCTCTGCAAAGTCACTCCTTGACTTGGAAAACGGATGTCGACAAGCCAATACCACGATGCCAGCCGCGGGCATGGCGAGCTGGCTAGCGCTGCTGGCCTCCTATACGGGAGAAATCTCCGTGACGTGCGGAGTTGTCCTTTCTGGTCGAACATCCGAGTCCACTGGCAGTGCTGTTTTCCCGTGCATCAGTACTGTTCCAATCGCACTTACAGTAACGGACGAAAAGGCGAAAATGCTGGAATCGGTCACAGCGCTCAACGCGAACATCCAAGAACACCAGTTCAAACCACTCAAAGAGATTCAGACACTGATGGGCTTTCCGAACGAGCAGCTCTTTGACACCATCTTCGCGTACCAGAAAGTAGCGAGCGGTGCAGACCCTTGCCAGCTGTGGACTGTCGTCGACGAGAAAGCTACCATCGAGTATTCAGTTTCCATAGAATTGGAGCCCAAAGAAGGACGGCTGGAGTATCGGCTCACCTACTTGCCGCATGTGATTCCAAGAGAGCATGCTTCTCTGATTCTCGCGCAGTTGGACCACTTGATGGACAGTTTTGTCTTTTGTTCCGAGACTTCCAAGACTGAGATCCAATACTCGCACCATTTGTACTCTATCACACCAGCCAAGGAGAATGAGCTGCCGTCAGATTCTAGGCTTCTCCATGAGATGGTTGAGAGGACAGCTTCAGAGTACCCAGAGCGCATTGCCTTTGAATTCGTTGCTAAAGAGAGCAATGGAAACCGTTCAGTAAGGCGCTGGACATACGCCCAATTGGACAATGAGGGAAACAGGATTTCACAATTACTCGCAGCCCACCATGTTGAGCCAGGAAGCCTGGTAGGCGTTTGCTTCGATAAATGCCCAGAAGCTTCGTTCGCCATGCTGGGTATACTGAAAGCAGGATGCGCCTTTGTTGCGATCGATCCCGGAGCACCTGCTGCCCGTCAGACATTCATTATTGACGACTCCAGAGCGCAGGCTGTATTATCCATGTCAGTACAGTCTGCAAACTTCAAAACGAGTGCCAAAGTACCGGTCTTGGATCTTGATGAGGTCGAATGGTGCTCGCTTCCGAATCAAAAGCTGTTAGACAATAGCAAGATCAGTCCCCAGGACCGTAGCTATTGCCTGTATACTTCGGGTACTACTGGCACTCCCAAGGGCTGCGAGTTGACGCATGAAAACGCCGTCCAAGCGATGCTGGCCTTCCAGCGTCTTTTTGCCGGACACTGGGATGCAGAATCTCGATGGCTTCAATTCGCCTCTTTTCACTTTGATGTCTCAGTCCTTGAGCAGTACTGGAGCTGGTCCGTCGGCATCTGTGTAGTTTCTGCACCTCGGGACCTCATTTTCGAAGATCTTGCAGGCTCCATCCGCGAGCTCGATATCACCCATATCGACCTCACACCCAGCCTCGCGCAGATTCTCCATCCAGACGACGTCCCAAGTCTATGCAAAGGTGTCTTCATTACTGGCGGCGAGAGTCTAAAGCAAGAGATTCTGGATGTGTGGGGTCCCAAAGGCGTCATCTATAATGGATACGGGCCAACAGAAGCGACGATAGGATGCACCATGTACCCACGTGTCCCCGCAAACGGGAAGCCCACGAATATCGGTCCTCAATTCGATAACGTGGGATCATTGGTTCTGCGTCCAGGCTCCGATGTTCCTGTCTTGCGTGGTGGTATCGGTGAACTCTGTGTCTCAGGAAAACTCGTCGGAAAAGGCTACCTCAATCGTCCAGAGCTGACTGCAGAACGTTTCCCGTATCTTGACCGTTTTGACGAGCGCGTATATCGAACGGGTGATGTTGTGAGAATTCTCCATGATGGTACATTCCACTTTTTGGGTCGCGCCGATGACCAGGTCAAGTTGCGTGGTCAGCGCTTGGAGGTGGGCGAGATCAATTCTGTCATCAAGCACTCTGACCGCGCCATATCAGACGTAGCAACCCTTGTGTTGAAGCATCCAAGACAACAGAAAGAGCAATTGATCGCATTCATCGTCCGTGGAAAGATTCTGAAGGCTCAACCAGAAGTCTTGCTCGGCGACATCCGCGGTATAGCAGGCGCAAAAGAGGCTTGTAACGAAAAGCTCCCACCGTACATGGTGCCGACTCACTTTGTTCCTCTCACTTCCATGCCTCTGAATGTCAACAACAAGGCAGATAGCAGGAGACTGAAGCAAATTTACGAAGCTCTTTCAGTCACTGACTTACAGAAGCTGTCAGCACCATCTGGATCCCGAGACGAATCGTGGTCCACGCAAGATGAGAAACTTCGAGGTGTCATGATGCAAGCCCTAGGTGTAAGCAAAGCGGCCATCACTAAAGACTCAAGCTTCTATGAGCTGGGCATGGATTCTATCTCCGTTATAGGCGTTACGCGAGCCTTGAAACAGGCTGGGTTCACGGAAGCCACTGCCTCTATGGTCATGCAATGTCCCACAATCAGGCGTCTGGCCAAGGCTCTCACAAACAACAGTGCCTCTGAAGACAGTCGTGGATCAATACTCGCCGCACAGCAATCCGTGAATGCCGTCAATCATCGTCATCGACGAACAGTAGCGAGGTGTCTGTCTATCGAAAACAGCGACATTGAAGCTCTCGCACCTTGTACGCCTCTACAGCAAGGAATGATTGTAAGATCACTGGAAAGTGAGAAGGGTCACTACTTCAATACCTTTCAGTTCAGGTTGAACAGCGACATTGATGAGCAGAAGCTGCAGGATGCATGGGCAAATGTGTATGCCACGACCCAGATCCTCCGTACAGTGTTTGTAAACACTGAAGAAGGCTATGTGCAGGCTGTTCTTGGTGGCATTCGCTCTTTGGAAATCATCCAAACCACTACCCAGGATCAGGACCTCGCCAGCCACTTAGCCGAGCTTCGGCAAAACTGGATTAGCCCCAACGGTGTCGAGTTCCGGTGTCCATTCGAGCTCCATCTTGTTACAACACAGAAACAGAAGCTACTAGTCATGCATGTCTTCCATGGCTTGTACGACGGCAACAGCATTGGTCTCCTTCTGCAGGCTGTCTGGGACGCATACAATGGAAGGAAATCAGTGTTGGACTCGCCTTCCTTTCACGCAGCTCTTGTCCGTGGTCCACTGAGAACGGTCAATGGTGCAAAAGAATTCTGGCAGAGTCGAATATATGCAAGTACTTCACCTCTCCCTGGGCTGTTCGACAACTCTGTCCAGGAAGATGTTATCGTCACGCGGACAACTCAGGCATCGGCCAATTTCGACAGCATCAGACGCCAACTCAACGTCACAGCGCAAGCTATAGTACAAGCTTGCTGGCTCAGTGTGCTTGATGATTATGCCAAAGGAAATGTGGCAACCGGCATAGTCGTGTCTGGACGCAGCATTGACCTTGAGGGTGCAGACCATGTACTAGGACCTATGTTCAATACTATTCCGTGCCACCATCGGGCTGAACGCAGCGAGCCTTGGTCATCAATCATCAAGAGGGTACATGAGTTCAATGTCGAGGCTCTCCCGTATCAACATACGCCTCTCAGGGATATCATGAAGTGGTGCAAGAGATTACCGAATCAGCCCCTCTTTGATAATCTTTTCGTATACCAGGTCGCACAAGATAACGAGGAGTGGGCGAGAAACGATGTTTGGGAGATCTTGGATGGGGAAGCCGTCGCTGATTACCCCCTCGCCTTCGAGGTTGAACATCGGGACGGAAATGTATTGAAACTTACACTGGCTGCCCAAGCGCATGTTACGAATGCACGTATTGCAGCAGAACTTCTAGACCGGTTTGAAGAACTGCTGGATCGAGCTCTCCGTGACCCATCGGCTGTGCTCGAGCTGCCAGTTAACCTGGATGAAGGAGCTGAGAGCATCACCCCTGTCAAGTCTAGTAACCACACGAACGGTACATCGAACTTTGTGTGGAGTGACAACGCCATCGCGATCAGGGAAGAGATTGCCAGTCTGAACGCGAACGAGACTGAAAGCATTAACGAAACGACATCCATCTTTGAGATTGGCCTTGACAGCATCGATGCAGTCAAGCTCTCCTCAAAGCTCAAGAAGCGGGGAGTGCAGCTTTCAGTCAGCGGCATCATGCGTGGATTGACCATTGAAAAGATGGTGCAGAACATAGCCATGTACAGTGGTCAAGCTGAAGAATCTTCCTCGCGGGCTGACTTTGATGCTTACAAAAAGAAGCTGGCAGGATACTTGAGCGATGCGGCTCTCGACACCAACGATGTCGAGAAAGTGCTTCCTCTGACGCCGTTGCAGGAAGCTATGGTCGCGGAGATGATTACATCAAAGTACACGAGATACTACAACTACGACGTGCTGAAGCTTGACTCGAAAACAGACGCCAGCAAGCTAGAAGATGCTTGGACAACAGTTGTCGAGGCCTCGCCTATTCTGCGCACTGGCTTCGCTGAAGTAGAGGATCCAGAAATTGAGGCCTCTTTTGTACAGGTCATACAGCGTAAACCACATGACTTCTGGTCGCATATCAAGTCTAGCAGCGCACCTAACTTCAACGCGCTCTTTGAGAGTCTCCGGAAAGATGCAATCCGGCGACCGCTTTCGACGCCGCCCTTCTGTCTTAGGCTTATCGAAACCCCCGACCAATGCTATGTTGTATTAGCAATCGCGCATGCCTTGTACGATGGATGGTCTCTCGGGTTGCTCCACTCTGATGTTCATCGAGCCTACCGCGATGAATTTGAAGCTCGACCATGGTATGAGCCGTCATTGGTAAACATAATCCAAGCTTCCGGATCTCATGCTGCAGGTTTCTGGCAAGACTACCTCTCTGGGGCTCACACCAGCACGTTTCCACGCAGACTCGAATCTGACGAGAAAGGCGTCGTCCATCGCTTTCAAGAAGACAGCCAGGTAGCACTGGTCGACCTCCAAACCTTTGCAAGAAAGAACAACATCTCACTGCAGACAATTGGCCAAACAGTTTTTGCTCTGGTAACAGCTTCTTTCACTCGCTCTCTCGACGTTACGTTCGGTTCAGTGCTTTCAGGACGCGACAACGAAGAAACAGCGCAGCTCATGTTTCCGACTATGAACACGGTGGCTATACGCACAATTCTCCATGGAACAAGCGTTGAGATGCTACGATATGTGCAGGATAACTTTGCAAATATCAAGCAATCGCAACACTATCCCCTTCGGAAAGCCCTTTCGCAGGCGGGAGTTGATGGGAGATTGATCGACAGCCTGTTTATCTATCAAAAGAGCTTGGAACGGGGGGCAGATCAAGGGGAGAGGCTTTATACCAGTGTCGAGGGCCACAGCGATGTCGAATACCCGGTGTGCGTTGAAATGGAGGTAATGGACAATATGCTGGTGTGGCGTTGCGCGGTCAAAGAGGAGGTTTTCGATTCTGAAGGAACACAGCAGTTGCTGAAGCGGATGGACGATGTGTTGCAGTACTTGATGAGCCGACCGGAAGCGCCAGTTATCGAAATCACCTCGCAAGGCACATCAGTATGCGGTTTGCCAGCTTTTGAAGAAGCTGGAACCCGGAAATCACAGCGTGCCATGGAGTCTGGTGGAAAGTCAGGCACAAATGGCTTGAATACAGCAACGGCCAGCAAGATGCGCAAGGTACTGGCTGCAGTTTCAAAGACACCAGAGGATGAGATCACGAGCGATATGACCATCTTCCACATGGGATTGGACTCCATCAGCGCGATCAAAGTGTCGTCTCTTCTGCGCAAACAAGACATTATCCTGAGCGTTGGTGAGATGTTACAGGCCGGCTCAGTCGAGAAGATGGCTGAGCTTGTGGACGCCAATACTGCTACGCTTCCGGAGCACAGCGAGGACTACCGACTTTTTCTCGATCAATCAACGCAAGGTCTGGATAGATTGGATATACTAAAGCGAGCTGGAGTAGATGATTCCAATGTGGTCGAGATTCTGCCAGCCACTGCCGGTCAGCTTTACATGCTGTCGATGTGGCTCAACACCAAAGGCGGCAACTTTTACCCAGATTTCACATACCAGATGAAAGGAGAGATATCGTTTGACAATCTGCAAAAGTCCTGGCAGGCGGTGGTGACTGCAAACCCGATCCTCAGGACATGTTTTGCGTCGGCTGGCAATCACCAGGTATCGTACGTTCAGATTGTGCTGAGAGATGTGGATACCGGAATCACGGACATGACTGGATGCGGAGAAGACGAGATCCGTACTCTGATGCAACGTGCTGCGGCTCAACAACCATGGGTGAAGTTGTTCGTCTCGCAGGAATCGGACGGCTGGACGTTGAGGCTCAAGATCCACCATGCATTATATGACGGAGTCAGCTTGCCGTTGCTCGTACAACAACTCGAGGATCTTTGCAACGGCGCTGCATCACAGCCATCAAATGACATACTAGGCAGGTTCCTAGCCAGCGGCTACTCGATATCAGCACTCGAAAAGCGCAAGGAATTCTGGACGCAGTATCTAAGCAGCCCGGCAACCCCATTACCGCAGCCCCGGGAAGCGCCAACCACACGAACCGAAGTCTTCAAGCCGTCGATAGTCCCAACGTCGAACCTCGAGGCCACAGCCCGCAAACACGGCGTATCAACACAAGCCCTGTTTCTCGCCGTGTACGCAAAACACCACGCACGCCTTCACGCTGGCGACACAAATGACACCGTCATCCTGGGCATCTACCTAGCGAACCGCTCGCTCGCCATCGACGCCATCTCGTCGGCGCCAATCCCAACTCTCAATCTCCTCCCGATCCGCATCACAAGCCCGCTATCACGCCCCATACCCGCTGTGGCAGCGCAAATCCAGCACGACCTTCGGCGCCTCAGCGACGCGGCCATTGCTAGCACAAGCCTCGCTGAAATCAGCACGTGGACAGGCATCCAGCCCGATGCTTTTGTCAATTTCCTGTCGTTGCCCGATGCGGTGGCGCCATCTGTCTCGCAGGGACAACCACAACATGAATCCGCGTCTGTAAGAATCCACGCGACGCAGCAATGGCAAGACAGCGTTAGCACGACGTGTGCAGTGCAGCACTTACCTCAAGATTCCGATGATATCCTGGCGGAAATGAGGAATGAGGCGGCTAATCATATGTACTTGGTAAGTCTCATCTCCTCTATGCACACCTACCAGACAGACTATGATATTGGTACATGAGTAAAAGCACCATGCTAATCATGAAATGCAATGCAGCACGCAATAGACGTGGAAGCTACAGTTCGACATGGGAAATTAGACATTGGTGTTTTTGCTCCGGGGGAGATGCTAGGGTTGGAGCGAGCGGAGCATCTGGTCGAGGGGCTTGTGCGAGATTGTAAGCATGTTTGAATGTGGAAATTCTTTTTTTTTCTTTTCTGTCCTTGATTGTTTTTCTTTGCGGTAGTTTGTTCATGTTGTTTGGTTGAGATTGTGCAAGCATTTCTAGAATGTTTGGAGTATCTAGGAGTACTGTGGCGTCAAGTATTGGGATATGAATATTATTCGGTTAATTTTTGGAATTTCAGTCTTATGTGCGGATAACCAAAAAACACCATGCTTGGAATATGAGGACATATTGTAAAGAACAAGAATTGAATAACTATCTCGTAATCATTAAACTCATACAGGATGCATAGTATACACGTCTTATTACACTCAACCGCCACATGATGCACCCGTTTGATTGACCTACACCATGTGTTCACCCCTCGCCCCCATACCAACAGGCTTCCTGTGCATACTGGCGTCGGCATGGTGATGACCAGCGGGGCCCTCTGCTTGTGGCATCATGGACCCCTTAGGACCGTCAGCGGCATCAAAGGGAGCACCACCCCAGCTTCCGGCCTCAGGGGAACCCCATCCAGCCTTGCGGGTAAAGACATTGCTATGGAAACCATCAAAGGAACTGGGGCCAGCACCATAGACAAAGGGGACGTGGCGCATCAGAGGAATGTGGTTGAAGCGGAAATCCCAGATGGAAGCAAACGTCATGCGGTATGAGCTAAAGGCCATGATACTTCCAATGATGGCGCCGGCGAGGACATCGTACTGTGCTTGTGTTAGCCTTGCACTCTTAACAAGAAAACAAAATGACATACCCAGTTGTGGTATTCGTCGATGGTGAGGGCACCACCGATGAGACAAGCGCCGAGGATGGGAGCGTACAAGGCAACGATTTTCCACATTGCGGGGTGGTAGTTGGAAAAGACCTTGAGCTTTGCGTTGAGGTACAGGTACAGGAAGACGAAGCCGGCAAAGGCAGCCGTCGTGTGGCCTGAAGGCATGGATTCCAGACTGTCGTTGATTTCGTTGCGGTCGCCGGTGCAGATGCTCTTGTCAAACATGATCTGGCGATATCCGTTTGCGATGTTGCCGTTTCCCGTGCTGGTTTCGACGCCGTTGTCTGAAGTGCCGACGGAAGAGAGGATGTTATCGGGGATAACGGGCTTGCAGACTGCGAGGAAGTGAGGGCGCAGACCGCCAATGAGCCACTTGATGAAGACCTGGAAGACGGCGGCAGTGATGAGCGAGTAGAGGAGGCCAATGGTGGCATTGTTGATGTCCCAGAAGCTGCGGGCGCGGATCTGCACAATGAGGAAGACGGCAAAGGGGATGAAGAAGGCCATGAGGGCGGCGGCCCAGATGGGGATGATTTCATTGCGCAGAGGGTAGGCGAACTCGGGGTAGACGATTTCGCCGTCTTGGAAGATGACTGCAGAGGGTTAGATGGTGGTTCTTGTGCAGTGGGAGAGCATGGGGGGTTAGGTACTGGGAAAGCTACGGCTCGGGGCCGGGTCAGCCATGTAGACTCCAAGACCGATGGCTCCCATGGCGGCCATGGTGAGGATGTCGAGCCAGGTGGCCTTGAGCCATTGTCCAAAGCTGGGCCTGGTGTTGGAGGACGAGGGGGTGGACTTGGACGAGCGCCTGGGGCGGGTTCTCTCCTTGTGGGCACCAGATGCAGCAGCCGTGTCTGCGGGGGGCGTGGTGTTGCGGTTGAAGAGGCCCATGGTGTGGGTGGTGTGGGTGGTGTGGTGAAGTGTTGCGGGGTAGTGTTGCAGAGGTGGAAGTAGCAAACGCAGTGAGGGCGGTATGCAGCACTGCAACAGCCCACGTGACCCTATTCGCAGGAGGGATGGTGCAGGTGAGAGAGAGTAGTAAGAGGGCTGGTCAGCCACACGACGCACCCTTATACTCGCGAGCCGCAATGCCCCCGCCCTGGCCTGCACAAGCTCGTCACCAGCCGTCACCGTCACAGCAGCAGTGGGTGGTTTTGCAACGACATCATTTGGTGACCATCACTACCAGCCACGGACGGAGCCACAGGCGCGGGGCCTCATCGAGAGGGGGAAAAACCTGCTTTTTCAACACGCAATTAAACTCTTACGACGTCTGTGTGCAGTGGCAGCGATGCGGCGGCGGTTCCAGCAGCGCGGGGAGTCCAAGAAAGGAAAGCAGTTTGCAAAAAGCTTGGTTGGGCGGGTGGAGCAGCGCGGCTTGGCACGGCCTGGGTGTGGCTTCTGCGTGGCTTCTGTGTGGCTGGTGGGCGCGGTGCAATCAGCAATGATGGCATAGGAGCGAGCGCCATGGCACTGTGGCTCGTGCCGAGGCAATTGGCGTGCCGCACGCCGCGGAGTCTTGTTGTGCTTGTGCGTGTGCGTGCGTGGCTTGACCATGATTGCAGCCACAGCCCTTTCTGGGGCCGGTGATGAACGCGTGACGTCAGCGCCGTCCATGCGTCCTCTTTGGGCACAGAGCCTCCTCCCTCCTTCTGCCACCCTGCCCCTCGCCTTGCACCAACGTCCACGCATCCTGGCCACTCTTTTTTTTTAGCAGCTCCGTCATATCACATACATGCATGCACGCAGTCATTGCTCACAGCTGAGGATATCAAAATAAGGTTACTGTCAAACACACACCAGCTCATTCGCATTCAACCCCGTACTACCAATGGCCATTTATACACGACAGAAGCACCGCAGCCTAATTAACGCCTTCCAATGGGTATCATCGTCTCCGACTCGCAACCCTTGCCATAGACACTCCAAATACTGTACAAGCACATGCGGAACAGTGCGCCCCTCTAGCTGTGCATATGCACCTCGGTCGATCCGCTGCGATGATATGTCGCAAGCAGCACGCCACACCGCCCGCACTTGTGTTCGACGTCCTTTGTCGAGCTCATGACATAGGGAATGCATCCCAGGCAGCACAGGCAGCAGAGACCCAGTGCCCACGCGTGTGTCGTGTTGCCCGCCACAAACGACACGTTGGTGAGGGCCCGCTGTCCGCACGCAGGGCAGTCTGCCGGCGCGGGGCTGCGCTGGAGGCTATTGAGCGGAACCGCGTTTTGGTATTGCGTTCCGGGCATTTGCTGCGGCGGCATGCCAGGCGCCGGCGCGTCCTGGGCGTACATGGGCGGTTGGGGCTGCCCTTGGGGCGCGTTGGGGTATTGCTGCATGGGGACTGAGTGGCTGTCAGTACGAGAACAGGTACGCATGGCTGCAGCAGTGTCGCACGGCGCCGTGGCTTGCCTTCAGCTCGTGCAACCGTTAGACACTAACGGCCACAACGTGTCGAGGCACTCAGCCCGCCAATCAAACACCAGGTGCACTTACCGCTGGGCTTTTCCATAATCTCGCTACTAGTATGTACAACGAATGTGTCTGGCGTCGAGGTGCCAGCAAAGGTAGGCAGACGACTTGGTGAAGAGGCGAGTGTCGACGGCCGAGGCGCGACAGTGTGCACTTTATTAGACACTCATGTAACTTTAGGCGTACCGCCATGACTTGGTTCAAGGGGGCCTAAAGTCGGGCACAGCCCTCGCATGCGCATCAACAGCGCTCGCCGCAAGGCTCTCGTAGCCAAAGCGGCCAATGGCTTGTTTCCAAACCGGCTGGCGTCGAGTCGCGGCGTATTTGCGTCTGAAGCGACATGCAGCGTCCAGGGCGTCTATGTCTGACACGGCGCCTCGCTTGGGGGCCAACACCCAGCGCCTATGGCCATGTATATAGAACCGGAAGCAGCCTATGCCGTTCGTCTGCACCATGGCCATTGCCAACACGACGTTTTGCCCGTCTGCACTCGACGTTAGGGTGCAGGGCTGTGCTGTACATGCACATGTGACGACCAGCCACGGCGATCGGCATATGCATGTTTGTTGCCTATTAGCGCACGCCTTTATTCCCGCTGCTGCTTCTGCTGCTTCTGCTGTGCTGCTGCGCCAGACGACAAGGGCGACGGCGACATGAAACGCTCAAGCTCAGTACCGTGTGTCCATGTCTTCCAGCTCGGCTTCTTCCTCGGACTCGTCGTCAGCATGCGCCGCCGGGCTACTCTCGCTGCCATGCACCATTCTTTGCTGCTCTGGCGTCAGGTCAACAATGGTCGGCGCATAGTCGCCCACCTCGTCCTCTGCGTCGGCGCCATTCACCTCCATCTCGACCCGCTCGCCGTCCTCCAGCTCGACCATGCCGCGCTTCAGATACGACCCTTGTGGCTGCCATGCAAACTCCTTCTCCATGTACTCGTGCAACTCGTCCAGCTCATCCACCAGGTCCGCTTTCCACTTGCCGTCAAAGTCGTCGAGCGCTTTGCGGAACTGACCCAAGAGCGGTCGCAAGAATCCGCCCCCCACATCGTTCATGTCGAACAAATCGCCCTCGATATCTGCGCAATGGCTGAGCTGCATGCGCAGACACTTGAGCAGCTCCAGAAAGAGGCGGGACCGTTGCATGACTGCTCGCCGGCAGGTGAGTAGCAGCCGCAGCAGGCGCTTCCACTGCTCCAGACACGAGTTGTTGTTGAGCGTCAGGACCATGAGAAAGGCAAACTGCAGCTCGCCCAGGATTTCATTCTCTTTGCCCTGCACATCGCCCGCCTGGCAGTGCTTGTCGATGAGATGGCCCAGGAACCACGACCGATCCTGTGCTGCTTCAGTCCGTTCTCTGCCCGTTGCCCCTTCTCTCCATGTCTTCTTCAGATCGATGGGCAGAAACCTCAGCTCCTTTTCCGGGTGCAGCATGCTATTGCTCGTCTCGAGTCCCGGAATGTCGTCCAGGTCCTGCGGGGCCGACGATGCCGATGTGAGGTTCCAGTGGTCGGGATTCAGCCCGCATATCCTCGAAAGTATGGTTGGGGTGATGTGTGCAGTCAGCTTACGCCAGTCAGTCGAGTCTTCACTCCAGCCCTCCTCGGCGCCCGAATCGCCGTCGGGCACGGTTTGCCGGTAGGGCGTGAGGCCGTCTTTCCACATGCTTCCGAGATTCGCCCTGTGCTGGAGAAGCTCCGTCTGCGACGTCTCGGCGACCAAGTCGTCGGTTCTCTGGTCCCATTTCTTGACAAAGACCTGTGGCGAGCCCATGCCTGGGGTGACGTAGAACCATGCACCGTGCCTCACCGACAGAGCGCCATGGCCCGCAGCGAAGACAAAGTGCAGGCCCGGCGGGACATTCTTGACGCCGCGGAAACGGGGTGACGTGGTGAAGGACAGCAGATCGATGCCGGCGAGGGCTTTTGTCGGAAGGTCGAGCAGCAGTACGCAATTGCTGATGGTGGAGGGGTCCATGGCGGGGCTGAATATCTCGTCGAACCAGGGCCGGCGCAGAATCTTCAGCAGCGGCTGTTCGCAGAGCTCTACCTGAGCTGGGGAGAAATGGGTTATCATCATCGGGCACGTGACGGCGGCAGCCTAATGCAGCACGGGTGGGGAACTGCCAGGGTCCAGGCGAGTCGAATGGAATGGAACCAAGAGTCTGCCCGGGGAGAGCAGAGGACGAGACCAGGCGAAGAAGCAAAAAAAAGAGAAGAAGAAAGAAGAAGAAGAAGAAGAAGAAGAAGAAGCGGACGGGCAGAGCAAGTAAATGTCGCAGGTGCAGAAGGGGACGATGCTAGAGGGAGGAAACACACTACCATGTACGTATCTATGTACATGCAGACGGCCATGCCTAGGCGCAGACATGCATCCTCGCCCGCGTGCATGTCTCGCCGATGCAAAGGCCGCCATACGTCATGCAGCTACAGTATAGAGTTTGGCCTGTCTGCCGTCTGTCGTGGTCGCAGGTTCAAGCATCGCTCGCTCGCTCACTCACTCACCGGTTTTCTGCTTGGCCTCGATGGCGATTGCTGACACCAGACGCCGGTCAGACGACGACACGACACCAGACGACACGACACGACAGCCGCAGCAAGGCCCGCATGCCGTTTCCATTGGGCCTTTGCTGCAAGACTCCCCGTTGCCCATTGCCACACAGCCGTGACGCGTGAGCCCGTCGAGCCTGGCCCGTTCGACCCTGCAGCTAGTCGCAGCTGCCCAAGTGGCATCCTTCCATCCTGGGCCCCTCGATCCACTCAACACGAGCCACACGACATCCCCCACGACACCGCACGACACCACACTGCACTACACTACACTCCGCTCCACTACACCAGACTACGCCAACCTATACTACACCACACTACACCACACCACACCACACCACACGCCCCGCCATGGACCGCCGCCGCACCCCCGGCCTCTCGTCGCTCTCGTCGCGCGGCCTCCAGAACCACCACTACACCTCGCACGGCGCCACGCTGCGCACCCGCAATGCCGACTCGCTCTCGACCCAGCTGGCCGTCTTCCAGTCGCTCCTCCACAACTTCGCCATCACCCACTCCAAGGACATCCGCGCAAACCCTGCCTTCCGCGCAGAGTTTGCCCGCATGTGCTCTGCCCTCAACATCGACTTCCTCGCCTCGTCGTACCACAAGGACAGCGCCAGCAGCAGCAGCAGCAGCACCACCGTTTCCACCGCCACCGCCTCAGCCAAAGACGGCAGCATCTGGACCCAGCTCCTCGGCGGCAGCGTCAACGACTTCTACTTCAACCTCGGCGTGCAAATCGTCGAGGAGTGCCGCGCCACGCGCGCCGAAAACGGCGGCCTCATCAGCTTCTCCGACCTGCAGGCGAGACTGTCCAAGTCGCAGCGCATCGGCGGCAGCATGAGCGTCACCGACGACGATGTCAAGCGCGCCGTCGATGCCCTGGCGCCCCTCGGCTCGTGCTTCTCCATCATGAAGATTGGCCATCGCAGCTTGATCCGCAGCGTCCCCAAGGAACTCAACACCGACCAGAGCACCGTCCTCGAGGCCATCCAGCTGCTCGGCTACGTCACCCTGTCCATGCTGCAGGTCAATCTCAACTGGGAGCGCCCCCGCGCGCATGCCGTCGTCGACGATCTCATGGCAGATAGTTTGGTATGGGTGGATACACAGGCAGGCGAGAATGAGTATTGGAGTCCGGCGTTTTTGACAATGGCGGGCAAGAATGAAGGGGCTGCCTGAGCTCTGTACAAAGATAGAGAGAGAGTGTGTGTGTGTTTGTGAAAGAGACTAGAAAGATACCCGGCGTCAGCCACGATACGAATTCATGACATTTGACCTCACCCCTTTTCATACACTATCATACACATACTTCTTCACCAAAGCAATTCGGTATTACAGATCCGAGCCTCCTCGTTATCCTGCCACTCCCCGTCTCCCCCACCCGAATCCGACGGTGCGCGAAACATCTTGCGATGCCACCTCAGGCTCCACCGCCGCGCAGTATCGCCATCTGCAAAATCAAGCACCCACCGGTTGTACACGCGATTCATCACATACTGGTTCATGTGCCGCTGGCTGGCCTCGTCCTCGGCCGGCCCCATCATGTTCTGGATCTCTGGGTCGTCGTACACGGCCACCCCGCGCGTCGCTTGCCAAAATCCAGAGTGGTCAAACGACCCGTATGCCCGCGGCCGGTTCGACGACACCAGCTTGCTGTCCATCCGCAGGTTGATGACGTCGCGCAGCCGGTGCAGCGACGCGCTCGACTCGTTGCGCAGCGGGTTCAGCGTCCCCTGCGAAAACGCGTCGTAAGCAATGGCCGAGAAGACATCCGACGGCGTTGGCTCCCACCCCTCAATGTGCAGCAGCACCCTCCATATCCGCTTGCCCTTGCTGTCCACAGACGGCTCAATCGGCTGGTACCCGCCTCGTTGGATCACCGCGCGCAGCGCCGGGTTGTATGGCTGCATGAGCATGTTGAGACTCATAGGGTGGTTCTTGGGTAAGAGGTTGTACATGGTCACGGCCGCCGCCACGTCCTCGCCGTCCTCGAGAAACCCCTTGGGTGGCGGAATCGCCGACAAGGAGCTCGACGGCTGGTGCAGAGCGCATAGCTTGTGCAGTCTCGACGCATTCTTTTGGTATGCGAGCGCCGCCTCCGTGTTCTTGAAGAGCAGGTAGTAAAACGGCAACCGTTCCAGACTAATGGGATCGCGCCCAGCAATCACCTTGTAAAAGTCACTGTCACGCCGCCACCCCTCCAGGTGCTTGCCCTTGGGTATGATGCGACGAAAGTCGACTTCGGTCAGTTCAGTGCTGCAGCTTGTAAGCTGGAGCACCGCAATCTGCTCTCCTTGCTGCTGAAGCGACTCGGCCACCTTTTGCTTGAACGTGTGTGGCGGCCCGACAAAGTCTCGACGGATAACCGGCCTCGACTTGGGTAGCGCCAGTTTGGGGTATTGCTTTCTGCCCTTGTCTACGTCCCGAGGCTGTTGACTGCTGCTCACTTCTGGGAAGAGTTCCTCGAGAAGCGATTGCTCACTGAATTCATCACTGCGCTCAGGCTGCTTGGATGAAATCGTTGCCTGAGTCACGGGAGAAGCAGAAGAAGAAGTAGAACTAGAAGCTTCCGGCATGGGATTAAATGACACGCCATCCTGGTCCCCGGAGCGTCGCTGGGCCCAGCCCGTCTCATGACCAGGACCCTCGCTCTTCATGGTGACATGTTTGGACGACGTCATGGAGCGTGACTGTGAGTGCATCTGGCGCATGAGCCTCTGTCCGTCGTCCGTCGACTCGACACCGTCTGGGCTACCGCGGGAGCGAACACCACTCACGTCTTCCCTACGGCTAGAAGCGCGTCCATCTAGCCTTTTGTCCGCCAAGTCCCTTTCAACACGGGTCGAAGCCACGCTGGATTCGCTAAAACTGTTGTGGACTCTGTGCATGCTGTATTCGCCAGGATTTTTGATGACTCGGCGTATGCCATACATGTCGTAGACTTTAGGTATGCCCGGCAATATGGCGGCAAGCTGTTTCGTCAAATTATGTGTTCGCTTTTCGTAATGCCTCCATCTGTTCGCTATGTCCACTCCTTTACGCTTCATTCTGAACACAGCGTACGGTAACCGCGATTCCCTCTTAACCCGATCTTTCTCATGCTTGTCGAAACTGAGCAGGGTCAGACTATCGTTCTCCAACAACGCCTGCTCAGCTATTGCGTCAAGACGCTTACGAACAAGGTTTGCGATTGGCGCTACCACGGGAGACGGACAGTCTTTTAGCTCGTCGGCTACACCAAGTAATTTGAAAGTCGATTTGCGATACCGGGTATGGCAAGCCTCCACGGTGCTGGTAATGACATCCCCATGCAGCAGCGTCTTGCTGTAGTTGACTACATCAGGATTCGTGCGAACACCTCTGGAAACCAAACCATCCATCAAGTCGCCATCGGCAACCTGTGGATGGTGCAATCTTGCAGCAAGCAATTCCAGAGTCGGCCTGTATTTCCGACAAAGCTCACTGACATCCATGTCGTCATCCAGTATGGCGATCTGGTGTATCGAACGGAAGCGGCGTAAAATGGAGAGAAATGTAGATGTCACTGCATGACACTGCATGCCTGCAAGAGTAGTTGCTGTTTTTCCAAGAAATTCCACCGAGTCAGTATAATAGTCATTTGCAGTTACCTGAAGACGGGCGCGCCAGCGGTGGTTCAGATATTTCCTCCTAGGGGCATTGATGCGTTGTGAATTACGGTTAGGTCTCAGACGCAGACTTTCTAGTTTCCATGGCGTAGCAGGATTTTCGGTATCTGTAGCGAACTGGGAACCTGGGAAATGCTCCGTCGTCGTCGTCGCGACTGTCCTGCCACCTTGACCTCCGCCGCTCTGCCCATGGTGCTGGAGCGAGTTCGTCTGTTGTGCATGCGCCGAATGACCGCTTTCCGTTCTAGCACCCTGTTTGTATTTCTCTGCTGCTTCGCTGGGTTCCTGCAGACGGGATGCAGAGTGATCCGGTTGCGTTCCGTTATGCGACGTTTCCGACTTGGGCTCTAGAGATGCGGATTGATTGCCGCCTTCGCCAATTGAAGTGATGCGGCCCAGTATCTTCTTCCACCAGGGATCCTTCACTGCTGGCGTGTCTCTGCTTGTATCCTGACGACCAATTGAGGCTCTCTTGTCCCCATTGTCGCCTTTGGTACTCGGTGTCTGCGGGGCGTCACGGCCGGAGGACCACAATCCGACGGGGCCCGTGGCATGGAGGCAGCGGACCTGCCTCGCGGTCACGGAGGGGTGCCATGGCCGCAGATGTCGAGGGAGGCGCGGCGGTGGCATCAATTGCGCAGCTTCATTTACACTGCAGGCTACGATGGTGCGGCCCGCCATGCATGTTCAAAAGCTTCAGAGAAGACGCCGCGCTAGCAGCCGCATCGGGACTAGTGCACCCATCGCTTAGTCACACCAACTTTGTTCACCCCAAGCAGAAGCAGCAGGAGCGCCGCAAACAGCACGAATTAGGCGAGTGCGTCCAGTGCTAGAGTAGAGCATCTGGAAAGAAGGAAGAAAAAATTTCCGCTGTGTAAAGCAGGCACGTGACACGACGTGAGTCACGCTTGCGCTTTGTGCGGCATCCCATCGTGCCCAACCTTCTCACGACTCTCTCTCCCGCTCGCTCTCTCTCGCTCATGCGCCACAAGGATACCACCAGGCAACATGAGCCCGGCCCCAGCGTACACCTTGCGTCCGCTAGAGCGCAATCCGCCCAGTATCCCAACCAATACGCTCGAGGGCGGTGCCTTTCGCGTCCATCTGTCGCAAAAAGAACTCAAAGGCCTCGGGCTCGCCAATGGCGACTGCGTGCGGCTCAGCACTGCAGCAGGCTTCAAAGGCTATGGTGTTGCGTGGATGGCCTCGCAGACGAATCCCGGAAACAAACCCCTTGCCAAGGTGACTGATCTCCTGCGCGAACACTATGACCTTTCCCTCAACGATCCCGTCTTCATCGAAAAGACCGACTCTTGGAAGCCCCTCAAGTCTGTAGAAATTAGTCTTGCCGAGTCACCCACGCCGGCTGCCAAGTTTGCTTCGAGTGAGCAGCTTGCATACTGGCTTCGCCATGCCCTGGGTAAGCTGGTCAATGACTTCAATTGTCTTCTCTGTTGCTGACAATGCCCAGCAGCCGACGCCGACATCATCCTGCCAGGATGCAGTTTTCCCATCCAGCAAAAGGGCTTCAAGCAAAGAGGCTCAAAGGTTCGGGTAACAGTGCAAAGCATAGATCCGCCTCCCAGCGAAAAACACGCAGTTTATTTTGACGAGATTGCTACTCAAATCAACATTGTTGGCGGCTTCACGCCCGAACAATCGGTACCAAAACCTTCAGGCGTGCTTCGACTAAAGCCCGACGGCATTGGTGGTCTCTCGGACCACATTTCGACCATCAATGAAGATCTCGCGTTTCTTACCAACAGCCTGCCTCATCTGCACAATCGACACCTGCTCGGGCCCACTGCCTTTCTCTTGCATGGCCCAGAGGGTACCGGCAAAAGTCTTCTACTCGAGCGACTGGCAGAATGTTCGTGGGCCCAAGTGTACAGGATCAACCCCGACACAAACCCCAAAGGACAAGCCAAGGTCGTCTCTGAAATCTTCGAGGATGCCCGTGAAAACCAGCCTAGCCTGATTTTGATGGACAACCTAGACCGGCTTCTGGACAAGGCCGATTCGCTTGTAAATAGACTGCGGATTGAGTTGGCTACTTTGGGGGGAAGTCAAGTAGTCGTCGCAGCCGCTGCGCGCAGTGTATACGACGTCGACTCCAGTCTGCGGACAGCAACAGCCTTTCAGACTGAGCTTGAGTTGTTGCCACCAAATGCGAAGCAGCGGGAGGACATTATACGCCAGATACTAGGCCCTGCCTGCAACGTTCCAAGTGTCGACTTTACAGCACTTGCAGAGCGTTCGCACGGCTTCGTTGGTCGTGATATTGCCAGTCTATGCTACCTCGCCAGAAAGCGACACACGCGGCGTCTTGACAAGCTGATTGACAAAAAGGAAAAGGTCGGGCTCAGCAAGGTGGATGAACAAACCGACTTTGTCGAGCAGGAGGATTTCGAAGCCGTTATAGAGCAAGTGCGCCCCACGGTGCTCAAGGACAGCATTCTCGAAGTGCCAAAGGTCAGATGGACAGACATTGCCGGCCTAGATCACGTACGGGCTGTGCTCGAAGCCATTACCATTCGCCCATTCAAGGTAAGCATGCAGCAACTTCCACCGATCAGGCTTGCCAATAGCCTGATGCTCCACTTACTGGGCTGTTCTGGTATCTGGGTGACAGAACAAGACTGACCGCCTTGCTAGTACCCAGACCTCGACGTCAAATTTGGCGGGCCCCAATCACGTAAAGGCGTTCTTCTATACGGGCCCCCGGGTTGCGCAAAGACACTGATCGCCCAGGCCGTCGCGACCGAAAGCAAACAAAATTTCCTAGCTGTCAAGGGCTCGGAACTCATCAAAATGTACGTTGGCGAATCGGAGCGGGCGATTCGGGATGTGTTCCGCAGGGCACGAGCAGCAAAGCCCTGCATCATCTTCTTCGACGAGATTGACTCGATTGGAAAGTCGCGTGAAAAGACGCAAGACAGTGGCTTGAACGTGGTTACGACTTTGCTCAACGAAATGGACGGTATTGAGGCGCTCAAAGACGTATTCATCATCGGCGCGACTAATAGGCCCGATATACTTGATTCAGCGCTCATCCGTACGGGCCGTTTTGACGCGCACATCCACATTGGTCTCCCGACTGAGGAAGCGCGGAAGCAGATTCTACAGATTCACACCAGGTCGAGACCGCTCGCCCCGGACGTGGACCTGGACACCGTTGCCAAGAAGACTCAGGGTAGCAGCGGGGCAGACATAAGCGGGCTGTGTGCCGTTGCTATTGAGATGGCGATTTCCGACTACACGGCGAATCCAGATAGCGCACCTCTGGTGCACATGCGCCACTTTGAACAGGCTTTACAGCAACACGTCCCGCACACGATTGCGGCCGAGGCTGAGCGGTACAGGAACTGGAGGCCTGGTAAGTCGCTCTCCGAGGATTGAAGATGGTCTGTGGAGGCTGCGGCGTGGTCCAGGCAGCGAGCGAGCAACTTGTGCAGCATGATGCTCTCTTGTACAGCAGAATGGGCATTGGGTGCGGATAGCAGCATTAGGCACAGAGGCATTAAATGCAACCTTCCGCATAACGACATGGAACAATGGCACAGCAGGCCGACATGCGTGCGCCCTCCTGCTACCACACGACACACGGCACGGTGTGGGGTTACGACGGGTAAAAATGCTTGCCTTCGCCTTGACCGTGCCACGAGCACCGCGTCGACATGCTACAGTGCAACAGTGGACAATGTGTTTGGCCAGGTCGGTCAGCCACCCGTCTAGAATACATGGCCTTGGGAGTTGAGACGCCAACACTTTATGCCTGTTTCAATACCCCACGACGCTTCGACAGGGCTTCGCTGGGTCCTTGTGGAATTCACGGTGAGCGGCGAGACGTGGACGCATTTCCGAAACGTCGGGGCCCTGGGGTGGGGCTTCATTTTGGACTCACGATGCTGGCTAATAGACACAGCGACGCGCCAGTGTGTCCATGGTGCTGTGCTGGCCGTCTGTGCTTGTCTTGCGCAGCACATCAGGGGGGGGGGGGCCTGGAGTTCAGCTCAGTCTTCTTCGTACAATATGTAATGACGAGAGCCAAAGTGCCGCCACAACGGGCCGATAAGCTACAGTCGACGAACCAGCTTGGTGGTGACATGGCGCTCCTGGCGGCGGATCGCGAAATTGCTTCTCGGCAAAGCAGAGCCTTGAAACCGGGCTTGTGCACCCTCCAAGTCACCTACACACACCGGTGCTGGTCCTCGCCACAGCTACCGACGCCTGTTCTCTCGAGCACCGTGGCAGACGGTGTGGGCACAACGCCTGTCCGACCATCCCGCCCGCCTATCAGGGGTCCCGCTCTTATGGAAGATGGCGCTACAGCCAATCAATGGCCGCGCCGCCATGTTATGCTCGGCCCCCTTGTCCTCTACAGGGCTCTCGACCTGGTGCAATTTCTTTCAGACGCGCGAAAGTGGATAGAGTGATTGCCGCTGCCATGATGACGGTGAGCAGAGTGTGGAGGCGCCAGGTCCGTTTCCTGGCCAGTCTGGTCATGATACTGGCGCACATCCCGCCAGCTCTTGCATCCCTCCTTCTCTCAAACCTTTTACGATAGTGTCGCTACCCCGTTTTGTGCTGTGCTCTTTGGCTCGCTGGAGCTGTCCATTCCTTTCTTCCCTCCCTTCGGCTCGTTCTCTTTTTACTATCCTTTGTTCATCTCCAATATTCGACATCTGATACCCGCTAACGCACTTTGAAACCCAACATGCCCGGGATGCTGACAAGATCAAAGTCTTTGAGGTTTCTGCGGAACAATCGCAAAGATGCGATTGATCCACAACATGCAAACACAATGCCGTCTGTAAAGGGGTCTCGCACAGATCTTGACAAATGCAATGCCCCTCGGGTACATTCGCCAGCAGAAGGAAACCTCCGTGCTCCACAGACAGCAGTACGACCGAGCACATCAGGCGGGCCTGGAGAGCGTCCACAGAGGCCTCGCAGGAAGACTAACCCTACCCCGTCAGTCCATTCTCAAGACCATGTCCACTCCTTCCAATCGCCTACAACTTCGACGACCGTACTCTATACCTCAGATGTCACAAAAGAGCAGGGGGTCATTGGTATTGCTCTCGGGTCGCCAACTTCTGCCTCACACTGGACTCCAACGCCTCAGGCAGCTGACCCAAACACAAATTCATCAAATCCACACTTGCCAGCCAACATGTTAAGCCAGCCCAACTACTCGTCGCCACATTTGGCAAGTCAGCAGGAACCAGCCAAATCCAAACTCAGCCGGTGGAAGTCGCTATTCCGCAAACCAGTCACTCCCACTCCGCAGGAGAAGTCGACTTTTTACCAGTTGTCGCAGCCTGCAGAGCCCCCGCCTCGTGCTGATAGTCATCACGACGAGGAAGCGTTTGCATCACAAGCTTCTCTAAGCCCGGAACCAGAGAGGGAGAAACTGCGCAACGTCTCACCCCCCACATACAAGCCCGACATTCGCTCATCCCGAAAATGGAGCCCCGATGAATTTGTCGCTCCTCAGTCACCATCAGAGACGCCGTTGGCTAAGGAGCGCGTTATGACCATTGCAAATTCCACTTTAGATCGACCTGGTGCACAACGGACATTTGCGACACCTCATGTTCCTACCCAAAAATCGGCCAGCGAGGCCTCTCCAAGGTCAGATGCTTCAACCTCGGAGATTGCCAGCGGAAGGCCAGAGGCCGAGTCGAAGACTCGGACGCCCTCGGAATTACCCCTTCTGGATATCAATCTCCCTGACATTACTATGGAGAGATACAGTGTCATGTTTGGCAACCTTTTGCAGTCTGGCCCAAGCCGCCTATCGCTCCTAGAGCGACGCCAGGCAAATGCTGATAAGCTCAAGGTGTTGAAGGACATCTCTTCAAAGGTGGATATTCAAAACGTTGAACTCTGCGCACAAGTACTAACACCAAATAGGACGATGAACAAAACGAGGCCTTGTCCCTTCAACGCAGAGCGACTTCGCCAATTGTATCATCTTCCCCAATGGTAGCGGCTTCACCAGTCGAGAAGTCTTCGCCAATTGTAGCGTCTGCGCCAGCTGTGGCGCCCTCACCAGCCATGACGCCCTCGCCGGCCGTAGCGCCTTCGCCACGATTGTCACTGTTCCCTGCTACAAACGCCGGCCGCGCACCTTCTCCGCTCTCTGGATCCGCCACGGTGCGTGGAAAGAAGGAGCTCAAGCGTACCAGAACGCTTCCGGCGAAATCGCCTAATCGAAGGAACTTTGTTGATGTGCCGGACCGCAGCGAGAGGCCTATTGATGGCGGAATGCTTAAACCTGCAGCATCCCCGTATTTGCAGCCTGCGTTGACGCCAACGTCAAGTCGTAGCTTTGATTCCGACGCCGACTCTGTGACGATTATTGTTGCGCAAGCGTCACCTGGCAGTTCCATGCCCATCAGGCTCCACCTTGACGACCGGGAGCCCGAGTGGGAGATCTGCACGAAGCCAACACTAGCTTCGAACCGCGAGGCTCTAGATGCTCTGGATACGTCTGTATCCCCCCTTACGCGCTCTCCGTCGTACCGGCAACCAAAAGTTACCAAGATGAGCGCTCTCTGCTCGCACCCATCTTCTGCGCCACTCGAGGCTCCCTCGCCACTGCAACGCATGCACAGTATGTCGACACCACCGCATTCTGCTCGGCAATTTGGCGATGCCAAGCGTGCAGAGATTATGGCCAGGCGACGAGAGGCAAAGCTGGAAGATGTGGCTGTAGCCAAAGCTACTGTGGGCGTTGCAAGGAGCGTGTCTGTCAGCAGAGCCAAAAGTCCCAGGGCCATTGTGCGCACGTCAACAGCACCAAACGAGGAGCGCGTGGTAGACCAGCTCGGTCTCACACCCATGATGGTGGAAGTGAAGAACCGGAAGAGTCACCGAGTACAACTCGACGACTCGTAAACGACGCAATTTTTCTTGGTCGTTTCAATTTTTGAATTTCTTTTCTATGTTTGGCACAATTTTCATTCTCATGTCCTGGGACATTTCAAAGAAGCCCTCTTGGGGCAATAGGGCTACGGATATTTACGGTGCCATGTTCTCTTCACACATTTCACAGTGCAGCCGCACATCCGTTTATACCTCTGGCTTTCGCCGTTACTGTCGTTGTTGTTTTTCAAGCGGGGGTCGTTTTGGGTTGGATTTCACAAAGTTCCATTCGCTTCTCTCGACAGTCTTCTGCTTTTCTTTTTCTGTATCTTACTTCTTCTTCTTCTTCTTCTTCTTCTTGTTGTTGTTGTTCTTCGTCTTCTTCTTCTTTTTCTATCTGGCAAGATGCATGGGGGCATAGACAGACAAATCATGCAAGACATGTACGTACTGCTGGACGGTGTGCAGGGGGCTCTTTTGTCAACAGAGGGGGGGTTGGGGGAAAGGTAGCATCACACATATAGGCAGGGCTCTTGTCGTGTTCAACAGGAGGCTCCGACAGATGAGGGTTGAATGCAAAGCTACCGACATGCCATACCATGCTGTGCAATGAATGACATGTCGACGGCATATGCGAGTAAATGTCTGAAAAGGGCATAGTATTGTTAGACGCGTCATGGCGAGTCCCAAGGCAGGCTGCATGTGTCTAGGGCCAACAGCTGTTCGGCCCTCGGCCGCTTCCGGGAGCCAGCTTGAAAGTCTAATCTCCGTCTTAGCAGTTCATCGACTATGGCGGTGGCAGAGGGATGACCCGGCTACCGGAAATTGTAAGTACTGCCTAACAATTGCTAGCAGTATCAACCGGCTTGCGCTGTAGGCTGGACGGCCCCACCAACGATTCCTTCACCAGTTCCCCTGCACGTCACGTGACCAGCCACAACCCAACCACAGCCCGGCCGCCGCCGCCGCCACCACCACCACCCATCCACGCACCCACGCACCCACGCCTCTGTACGCGTACAAGCTTCGCCAGGCCTGATAGGCTCAGCCCTCACGTCTCGCAGCCTGGGACTCGACTTGCAGCCGCGTGCCACGACATCTCCCCCGCTCCATCTCCCCTTTCCCCCCACCACCGCAAGGCGTCGTCTTCGGGAGCCTTTTTCCACGCACACAAGTAGCTACGATAATAGGCGGAATACAACCCCGAATACATGGCTGCGATGCAATGGGCCAAGACACGGTTGGGCAACCTCGTCCTGGCAGTGCCAGCCTCCTCTGACATATCCAGTTGCTTTGGGACTAGGCGCAATCACGCAGCCTGCCTAGCCTAAGACCAGCCACCGGTCTGTATCATTGGAGCACCTCGGTTAAGTACATGATTTGTACCATCACTATCATGGCCTACACCCAGGATACTGCTGGCCTCACCTGGAGCCTAGCCAAATGTACTCGATGCCATCCGCCTGGGCGTGACAAGTGAGGCTGAGCGTTGCCCAACGCGCGACCGACCGCCTCGACGTCTTCTGCCTGGCCTTTATCCTTCTCTCTCTCCCCCCCCCCAACCCCAAGCCCACCCCACCTCTACCCCGGCTGCCCGCCCTCTTTGCTACTCGATACTTGGGTCTTGGGCGTGCGTCTACTTGTCGCTCTTGTTAGCCCCGCGCAACAGCTTGACTCGCTATCTGTCGCTCTTTTTCCCCGCAGCAACTAAGCCGGTTGATGATCGCAAAATCTCACCACAAGAGACAAGTGACATACAAGGAGTAATCGGCCCTTGACTGGGGATCCCGGCAAAAGGCATTCAAACCGTCAAAAATCTATCCACTCACACTCGCCATCCCGCCGGCGTCTGGGTCCAGCGTGGTGCAAGGCTGTCTATCAATGACCCCCATCCGGCCCGGAATCCTCCTCGAGCCCGCGGGGTGTGTGTTGAGCGCAAACTCAAAGCCCAGCCGCTACTTGTGTGCTCAGCATGTCTGGTCTAGAGGTGAGGGCTCCCTTGCTCACTCCCATGCGCCCAAGCACGCTCTTGAACCCTCGACGCAAAGAGCCGGACCCTAACCCAGCCGTTACTTACTGAGCTGCAGGTTGTCGCTGCCGTCGCGGCCGTCGTCTCCGCCTTTCACGGCGCATCAGAACTGCTCCAGTACATTCGCAAGAAACACAGTGCTCGCAAATCCCCAAACTCGGCCAAGCAAGAGCGCGAGGAGCAGCGCCTGCAAGAGTCTCTGGTAGCAGCTCGACGGCAGATTGTCGTACGTTATGAACAAGACCAACTAGAGCTCGGTGATGAGGTTCGTGTCGGTGACGGTAAGTCGCGGCCGATTGATGCTAAACCAATGTTCGGGTGGTTAAATCTTCATAGATATTGCCCGAGAGCGTCTTTACCACATTGCTCTCATGTTGCAGGCTGAGATAATCAACAGCCTCAAGCAAGCTGCTACAAGGTGCGTCGCTGGGAGCCTACTCACGCCCCGCCCCAGCTAACGTCGGCCCTCTAGCCAAGTCTGCGTGCTGGATTTGCGCCTTCTGCACGAAGCTTCAGTTGCCAATCGCAACGAGACGCTGGTAACCTTGGACGAGCTCAAACAACGATTATACTTCACTCGCCCCATGGCGCGACAGCCAAGAGACTTGGGTGAGGGGTCGCGAGAATGGCAATCTCACGTCCTCGCGCCCACGACAAAAGCGAACCGCGACTCAGCCTACCAACTATCAGACCATTACGTTTCGCCAGTCGCTGACTACCCCCCACATAGCGACTACAGCGCCACTAGGCATCCCTCGACAGATTACCCTCCACTGTATGGCAGAGACGCGCCCCATCTAGCTCCTTCGGCATACGGGCCTGCACACCCCGTCGACCCAAACTTGGCCATGGCGCTCAAAGGCCTTCCCCCCAACCTCCCGGCAGCCATGATGAGAGATATCCAGCACGTGATCAGTTCGTACCGAGACCTCACACTCGATGGAGGAGCCTATCCGGAACAAAGTCGTGCATACCACGCCGGCTATTCTGAGCGACCAGAGGCCCGCGATACATCGTCCTACAATCATTACTCATCTGACCCAACAAATACCAGGTTTCAGAAGGACGCCCAGCATGAACATCACCACATCCCACAAGCCTACTCAGACCAAGATGCAGCCCATTCTTCCAGGTCGCCAGCATTCAAACAGGACATATTTGAGCTACACAGTGAACAGTACGGTGGCCGTCCGTCGTTGGTGGCTCCAAATCCATACCCCCAGATGCAAACGAGAGCATCAACACAGAACTCTCAAGGGTCAGAATCTTCGAGTGCTAGCTCTGCTCAGTCCAACTTTGCCTCGCCCGACCGGATCAGCCCCAACCCCTCGCACGCATCGTCGAGCAGAATAGCCTATGCACCACCCCAGCACTTCCCGTCTTCTGAAAACGGTCGTATTCCTTCGCCATTGAGCAAATCATATCAGGCCGATGATGACAGCTACTGTGACTTGCCTATTCCATGCTCTCCACACTCATCTCCGGAAGACAGGGAGATGCCTCCCCCCATACCACCGTTGTCGCCCGCACGCAACCACCGCAATGCCTCTTCAGGTACCTTTAGACAAGAACTTTCTTCCACACCATCTCCTACAACCCACAGTAGTACAAAATCGCCGATACACGTACCGTGGCCAGGGACAAGCCAGAAACAACCACCCTCGACTATGCAGCATGCCGCGCCACAGCGGCACCCCCTCACAATTGAAGAAGAGCAAGCACTCAGAGACTACTACCGACTCCCGAAGTACTCTGTGTCTGTCACAGCAGGCAACGCGTCATCCAGCACTCCCAGTACGCCCAGTACGCCCAGCCATGGCCGCGAGCACGCCAGGACATACTCGGGACTCTCTGCCATTACTTCTGCTGCTGCCTCCTCTTTGAGCTCTCTCAGCACTTTAAAACCCTCGCGACACCTCAGTATCACATCATCCACCGCCTCGACCGAGAGCACCACATCCATCCCCATTGGCATTCTCCCCGGACGCCGCATGCGCCCTATCGCCCCTTCTACATCGCACTCTGGACCCGCCCCAGCCGAGGCAATGATGGCCGGCCGTCCAAACAAAGACAATTCCTATTGGGGTTTCTGCAAAGGCGCCTGGGCCGTCCGCGAAGATGTTAGAAAGGGCCTTGCCGTACGCACACAACCCTGTGGCTACTACACGACGCGCCAACTCTGGGGCTGCAAATGCTGTTCCTTTACGGGCGACCTCCTCAAAGCTCCGCATCCGACTAAAAAATCGAAACAAATCGATGTGGTAGACGACCGCATCAAGCTATCGCAATCGGGTATCCGGTACCGCTGGATTTTCCTGGCCAAATCCCACGTCAAGAAGAAGTCGATGGATGCTACAGGAGAGGGTAGTTTTGGATGCATATTGTGTTGCTTCCAGGACAGGGTGTCGGAGGTGTATTGCGGCGTCGAGGCCCTGATGAATCATATTGCGCTGGTCCATGTGGGCGAGATGAGTGAGCAGGTGCGCAGAAAGGCAAACTGCATCTTGGGTGTTGTGGCGGGGAGTGACGACGACTTTGACATCAACGTGCCAATTTTCGGCGGCATGGACGACAGGTCGAGCAGGTAGATGAGTGTGGCGTTGGTGTTTGTGAAAACACCCGATAGGTTGGTTGTGAAAGCGGAGGAGTGGCAAGCGTTGGTCGCGACTTTATGTGTATGTACATGTTGAGGGATACATGTGTCTTTTTTTCTCTACTTCAGGATACCCTATTTGCCTTTGTATATAACTTTATCATATATTTCAGTTTACTTTTGTATATTAAGCACTGTTTTAGCGAGATAGTTTGTCAACTAAGAGATTGACAAGATGTGGTACGTTATCTTAGCACGGGACTTGTTTCCTCGTCTGATTTATGATCGATCTAGTTATTGCTGCAGATGTTCTTTGTGCAGCATAGAGGGTAGTCTGTGGGATGATCCTATGGAATTTCCAAAGTACATGGTACTTTTGCACTAGAAGGTTATTAGGTTGTAGTTGTAACTGAAGTAACCGCTCAATTGTTTGATATGCACTTGTTCGTATTCTTTGGGAGAATCTAGATTACACCGTTGAATTCTCGAGTAGAATATACTTAGTAGATATAACAGATACCTCTAATCCTTATCCTATTGCTACAATGTCCAACTTTTGTTTTGTACACCAGATAGGGGAACGGAGATTATTATTATTTGTCAATGTATAATCATTAGTAAGTGGGGTCTAAGTTGAATTCTGATTGAAAGATAGTATTTGAGATAGTGCATATAAACTCAGGTTACATAATGTACAATTTATTAAAAGTCCTGTACCTAGCAAGGAGAGAAACATGGCAAAGTAGAGGGGTTATCAAGGACTAGTAATTCTGAAGCGGTAGCAAAGGCTTTCTCTTGAATGATTGTGAGTGCACTGGAAATATGTATATGTGAAGACCGCTTGTCGACGTAACAAGAGTAATTTCTCGCTACTAGTTCATTGTCCCCTATTCATATTTTGATCTAGCATACAGTAGACTGCGGTAAGGAATCAAGCATTGCGCAGCCCTTGGCGAATCTTGGTGGAGAAAAAAAAAACATAAAATACATGTCATTGTAGAATAAAGCTGCCAAGAATACAATCATCAGATTCATAACAACAGAAATTTTGGGTTACAACGCCTTCAAACACAGCTTTCAGAAGACTCACAGAGCCATGGAAAGCGAAAAAAAAGACTAGGTTAGACCTGCTGATATGCAGTCAAATGCAGATTGCTGGCGTCCATACTCCGGTGATACTGCCTGCATGGCATGTCTTGATGCTGTGACTGGGCATCATCCTCTTCCTCTTCAATGTCGAACATGCGTTTCAATTCTTTACAGGCAACCATGTACTGCTGTCTTGCACCAGGGCTCTCTCTTAAAGGATTCGGGGCCTTGTCCCAGGCATGCGGGACACCTGGAACACAGTGGTAATGGACACGCTTTCCAAGGTCTTTTTGAAGGCGGTCGCGAAAGCGCTCCCCTTCGGCAAGGAGCATGTCCCATTCGCAGCAGAAGAGGACAATGTCGTCGGGCAGAGCGTGAAGCATGTGATTTGGGGCTACACCCGGACTCAGCCACGGGTGGGAGAGGTCAAGCGAGGGCGGTTGCAGGTACGAGTCGTCGAAGAGATCTGTAAAGACGGCAGGGAGATTCTGGTCGACCCTGACACAAGTTGCTCGACGCTGTGCGCGCGTTTGTGTGTAGTCGGTGGGAGGGTAGAAGGATACTACGCCTCTGATTTTGAGGACAGCGTTGGATCCTTCCGACATGACGGAGACGCCCGAAGAGTCCTTGTACGAGGTGATGAGAGACAGCGAGGACGAGCCAGTCTTGCGGAGAATGGCGATTCTGTCGAGGCGCGACTGTTGGCGCACGAGCGGGACACGGGAGCCGGCTGGGGTGAGCGTGTGGCTATAAGCGTAGGGTGGCAGGCTGCCTGCGCGTTCATCCACAATCCTGGTGCCGGAGGGAGTGCGATCAAACAGCTCGCCCTGCAGACACAGTGGGACGGTAAAGCTCATGTTGGCGCCCGACGAGAAGCCTGAGATGGCGAAGCGATCGGCGTCGAGCATCAATTCATCAGCGTGTTGGGCCAGCCACAGCAACGCATCGGCACCGTCTTCTACAGCGGTGGGGAAGGGGTACTCGGGTGCAAGACGATAGTCGACGCTTACGACCACGGCGCCGACCTGGTCTACCACGACGCCACACCAGCGAGCATCGTCGTGGGCGGTTCCGAGGACGAAGCCTCCGCCGTGGAAGTTGACGACGACGGGGTAGCGCTTGGTGCCCTTGAGCTTCTTGTAGCGCTTGTAGTCTTTGGGCACGTAGAAGTGGAGGCGGAACTTGCCCTTGATGGGCGACACGGTGGCCTCGATATCTCTATGGAAGGCGGGTCGTGGGGGCAGCGGGCGGGCCAGGCGATGCAGCACCATGCCGATGGCCATTAGGACGCGCCAAAACTGGGCCTGGATGTGCAGGACCCAGCGCGGGCGGGGCGCCTTGGGCTGGGGTGCAGCGTCAGTCGACACGGCCATATTGGGTGGTGGATGTTTTGCGGAGAGGATGGTTGTTTATTGTGGTGATATGTGTACAGTAGTAGTAGTAGTAGTAGTAGTAGTAGTAGTAGTAGTAGTAGTAGTAGTAGTAGTAGGAGTAGTGGTCGGGCCTGGGCGGCGCGCGGAATCAACGGGACCGATGGGCATGAAGGGAGACGAAAGGGGCTTGGCAGGCGCGGTGGCGGGTACATAGGTAGATGTCGAACAGCGTGGGTGGTGGGGGGGGGGGGCTGGACGCTGGACGTGTCAGAAGCTGGAAGCGCCGTTGGTCGGCCGAGGCCAGGTCCCCGGCCGTGTGTGTGTGTGTGGGTGTGGGAAGTGGTGGGAGGATGTCGGTGTCGTGTATACGTATTGCTGGTGGCAGTGCTGGTGATGTTGCTGGGGCGAGCGTCGCATGTTGCAGCTAGTAGGCTTGACCAGGGCAAATAAGGTGAGAGCACAGAATGAGCGGGTCAGCACGAATGACGTAAGGCGGCGTTACGGGGGGCCGGCGCTTTCTCAGTGGAGCGCCAAGCCGCCCGTCACCCCATCCGAGAGCCGTCGCGCGCATTGGCCCATGTTGGGACACGAGATTACTAATCGTCGTCGTAGTCGTAGTCGTAGTCGTAGTAAGTAGTAGAATTAGTATTAGTAGTAGCAAGCCATGGTGATGCGGATGCTGATGATAGAGAGAGAGACACACACACAGCTCAGTGCAGCGGCATGAATTCATGGCCGCCCGCTAGTCCTGTCATTGCGCACCACAGTACAATACTACATGTCACATGACCGCCACGTGACACTATCCGTCCAGGACACACCCACGCGCGCAACAAGATGCTCCTCGCAAACAAACAAAAAAAAGCAAGCCAGAAATGGGTATAGGGCTGCTCAAGTCCTCAGAGAAGCGCCGGACGCTCGCCTATTGATGCTGCCATAAACTCGAAATCGCTAACAACCGAATCTGTGTCAGATGCAAGGGCGTGCAAGAAGGGACAAGGTGACGAAAAGGAAACCAAGCCGAACGCGAAACAAGAAAACAAAGACCAAGAAGAAGAGATGAAGAAGAAGAAGGAGAGAAGACGCAATCGGCCGGTGCAGTTTAGGCATCGACAAACTCGTAGTCGTCCTCATCCTCGGGCACGACGACGCGTCGCTTGGCTCGGGGAGCAGCAGTGGCGGCGGCGGCGTCGTCCAGGTCCAGGTCCAGCACCTCGTACTCGTTCTTGACCAGCTTCTCCGTTTCCTTGGTCTCGAAGCGCTCGACAGCCTTGTCCAGGGCGTAGTTGAGGGTCTGGCTGCCGTGGCTGGGGCCGCGAGGCGCATCGTACGAATAGGCAATGTCGGCATCGGGCGCGGGCGCAGCCGACGGGTGCTCGACGTCTTCGTCGGCCGATGAGTCGTCGCTCGCCGACACCATGTCTTTGGTGAAGGCGGTGCGCGCCTTCATGTGGCCAGGGAACGACGACCTGCATCTGTCGTCAGTACTGTTACGACTACTCAGGGCGGGCGTCTTACTTGATGTGAGGGTACAGCTTCGCAGGCCGCGGCTTGCCGTCTTCCTCGCGCCGTCCTGGGCCATACGACTGTCCGTACGCCCACTTGGCCCGGCTGTTCTTGTCGCGGTTGAACTCCTTTGCGCTGCTGCGGAGGTCGCCGGTGAGCGTCTGCGAGGCTGACATGATGGGCTGCAAGTCGACTCGATGCTGGCGTGTGGGATGAGGAGAGGGCGGCGAGGGCTGGCGGATTCCAAGGGGGTTGCGCACGAGACTAAGGAGCGGGCTATGTATAGTGTAGTGTGTAGGTGTACTTAGGGCGGTGGGGAGATGGATAGAGAGAGGCAGGCAGTTATGCAGGCAGATGTGAATCGACGGCGAGGAGCTATGATGGCCGCGACGATCAGCACTATGTAGGCGTGTGGAGGGAAGGAGTGGGCGATGGCTGGCGGCTGTCTTATGAATGACTCCAAGAAGTGACTCAGGCAGAGGTGACTCAGGATGATTGCATCTGGTGGTGGCGGTAGTAGTAGCAGTAGCAGCAGCAGCAGCAGCAGCGGTAGTCGTCTAGTACGTGCCGCCCTTATGAGGTCAAAGGCGTCGTGGGCGCCGCACACGGTATTCCTGGCAGCCAGTTCCCGATAAGGACATGGGCGCTGAGATGGTGGGAGCTCATGACCTCCTGGCGGTGCAGCCCCCGATGCGCCGAGGCTCTCACTGCCTGCCATTGCCATTGCCATTGCCATTGCCATTCCCGCCTTGACCCGATGCGCGTCGCGGCCATGATTCATCATGGCGGTTTCAAAGGCGCCTCGGGGCCTGGTCGTGTAGAGTGCATACAGGGGGTGCAACAGCTCCATGCTTCCCCACAACCCCCCGACACCCCCCGACATGCACCGTCACGGCATGCATCCCAACAGCCAACGCCGACTGCGTCTGATTGCATGACGCCTCGCTCGCTCTTGATAAGCTGCCGGATCCGGCCGCCGCACCCTATCTGCGCCCTTTTTCGCGCCCGTCCAGTCCATCAGCGCCCTCACATGACCAGCCTCGTCATGTAGACGTGCTCGCATCCTGCCCCGTCATCCATGTGCCCGCCATCATCTACCCTACCCATGCGCCTCGCCACCGCCGTCGCCATCGCTCTCGTCGATGCCGCCCGCCTCGCTCGGGAGCATGTCCGGGAACCAGCCGTACTCGCCGAGGTCCACGCTGTACACGCCCAGCCCGTGCTGCCTCAGCTCGACCACGACGCCCTCTCTCCGCAACGCTTCCGCCTGCCGCCCTGCCGCCCCCGGCCCTCTGTCTGCCCGTCAGCAAAAATCATTATATAACCAGGCAACAACCACCCGCCGCTCGAGCTCGCTGACCTGGGGCTGATGGCGCCTTTGGCGTTGATCACGCGCTGCCAGGGCACGTTGCCGCTGTGAAACCTCGCCTCCCTGTTCTTGTTGTTGCTGTTGTTGTTGTTGCTGCCCGCCCATGGCGAGGGCAGATGCTTGAGGCAGACGCCCACTTGTCTTTGACGTCATGTGTGTTGTTAGCCGTTGCGCAGTGACATGTCGGCGCCCTTGTCTGCCGCTGCCGTTGCCGTCGAGCTGTGGCTGTATCAGCTATCGCCTTACCTGGGACATTCGGCTGTGCGCAGAGAAAGAAGCAAGGTCAGCAACTCGTTGTCGTCATCCGGCCAGCAACGCACGCTTTCCCACCAGCCGCGCAATGTGCCCGTAGCTGGTGACCCTGCCGCGGGGGATTTCCTGCACCGCTTCGTAGACTGCCGTGTACCACAGCCACACCTCTTCGGAGCGCTCTCCTGGCGCCATGACTGTGTAGCTTGCGTGTGTGCGCGTGCGTGCGTGCGTATGTATGTACTAGTGTGCCGTGTCTATGTATGTTATGGATCGTGGATATGTAGGAGTAGAGTAGAATGCAGAGTAGAGGAGAGACGGCGTGAGATCGACAGCCAGGGGACCCATCGCGCCGCCACCCCCCCGGCGCCGACATGACGCGACATCACGTGACGCGCATCCGCCAAGCCCCTCGACTTTCCCTGCTCCGGCCTGGCAACGCGCACAACTCGCTGGCTAGCCACGCCCACCTTCGCCATCGCCGCCAACCATGTCGGGACTCGCCGACTACCTGGCCAAAAACTACCTCACAGCCGACTCGGAAAAGAAATCCAAGAAGCGCAAAAGAAAGAACAGGGATGCCGGGCTCGTCATCCAGGACGACGACAGTCTGGGCTGGCAAGACAAGGCCGGCGACGACGACGACGATGCGCCAATGATAGGTGAGGACGTGCAGCCCGGTTCTCTCACGTTGCCCATGGATCTGGCTAACCTGGCTTTGTCAGTCGGTGGCGGCACGTTCAACAAATCCAAGCACAAGTCAAAACGCTCCAGCGCAGCGACGTGGACAGCCGTGGGCGTTGCTGCACCCTCACATGCCGCACAACTTGCCGCCGACGCCGCTGCTGCTGCCGACGCCATCATCGCAGACACGGCGGCCGACCGCAAAAAGGCTGCAGAGGCCGAAGATGAGGCGCCTGAGATGGTCGACCAGGACGGCGTGCTCGAGACAGCGCCCGGCGCAAAGGCAGGCCTGCAAACAGCCGCACAAGTCGAGGCCGCAATGAAGAAGAAGCAGGCAGAAGAAAAGCGCCAGGCGGACAAGTCCCTCAAGGAACTCGGCGGCGGCGCTGCCCAGGAAACTATTTATCGAGACGCGAGCGGTCGCATCATCAACGTCGCAATGAAGCGCGCCGAGGCTCGCAAAAAGGCTGAAGAAGAGGAGCGCCAAAAGCGCGACAAGGAACGTGCAGCTCGTGGTGATGTGCAAAATGCCCAAGCCGAGCGATGGAAACAACAGCTACAAGACGCAAAAACCATGACTGTTGCCCGATACGCAGACGATGCCGAGCTCAACGACGAACTCAAGGAGCGAGACCACTGGAACGACCCAGCACTGGGCTTCTTGCGCAAGAAGAAGGCTGGTCGCAGCGTAACTGGCAAGCCGCTATACAAGGGGCCTTTCCAACCCAACAGATACAACATTCGTCCTGGTCACCGCTGGGACGGCATCGATCGAAGCAACGGCTTTGAGAAGCAGTGGTTTGACTCGAGAAACCGCAAAGCCAATATTGAGAAGCTCGAATACCAGTGGCAGATGGACGAATAGTAACCCATGGCCAAAGTCCAAGGTTTGCCCGTACGCAAACGAAGGTATTGCTATCATCTTTGCATAGCGCGGCGTTTCTAAAAACAGAATTAACTTTTTCCTGAATAGCACTCATGTACACCCGTTCGTTTTTGTTGGAATGGCGACATGCTCGGGATGTGTCTCTTCGTAGTGTTTCCCGCTGTCGCCCGGCCAAAGCCAATAAGGATGCATTCTGGAAATAATAGCGCTCCACCCTTCTGCGCCAAGACGCCGCCTGACGGGCAAATTGTATCCGAAATAAGACAGCGGCATGGACATCTCACGAGATTGGACGGCAATCTGTCCAGGAGCTTGCGAAATCTCCTCACAATATCGAGGGCCCGGTCCGCGTGCAGCGGTAATTGCCCGGTCGTAGTCCCGAACGGGCAAAGGGGCCGCCGACAATCAATACTAGAAAGTGGACGCTATCCGCAATCCCCATGCTGGCGTCTTGATTCTCTCCACATATGTACCTACGGTGAGCACGTGAGGAAATCTGACCATGCTAAATTATACCAACTGATATTGTCCTCATGTTCCAAACATCGTCACCGCGGCATCCGTGCCCCCACTAAGTACGGGCTTGGTATTGATACAAATACAATGAGCATTAGGCTGCTTCGTCAGACTCCTTCACGTCCCTAGCCATGGCCAAATTCTCATGGGCCATTACGGCCCTTTTTCTAGGCGTGCAAGCCTCCACCTCAACATCGAGACACGCCCGCCTCGACACAAATGCCATTGTCCAACGAGCGGCAAACGACACGCCCGTCGCAGGCGGCTTTCTGGCCGATACCTATATTGTCGAGTTTGCGAATGACAACGAGACCCCCGAGTCCTTCTATGCATCTCTTGCCGCGAGTGGGGTGCAAGTCCAGCCTCGTTACAACCTAAGCTTTCGATACTTCAAAGGTGTCTCGTTCCGGCTCAAAGGCTTAGGCTCAAGCTTCAATTCAAGCGGCGGCGACTTCCTCAATCGAATGAAGGCGCAATCACAGGTTGCGAACATATGGCCCACCCTCATCACAACACGCTCGGGTGAAGGCAGTGCTGCAGTGCCTGCTCAGCAGAAACACGTCAAGCGGCAAGCCAGTACACTGCAGGATACCTTTTCCCCTCATGTCATGACCCAGGTTGATAGGCTGCACGCGGAAAACGTGACAGGCAGAGGCTATCGCATCGCCATCGTTGACAGCGGCGTCGACTACACCCACCCAGCACTGGGCGGCTGTTTCGGGCCAGGCTGTTTGGTGGAAATTGGTTACGATTTCGTGGGCGACAACTACATTGTTGGCAAGAATGAGCCACAGCCCGATGACGACCCAATGGACAGCTGCGAGGGACATGGCACGCACGTTGCCGGCAGCATCGCCGCTCAGCTCAAAGACAACAAATATGCCTTTACTGGTTCTGCTCCCGGAGCAAAGCTGGGCGCATACCGCATGTGGGGCTGTTCCGCCACGTCGACCACGGAGATTGAGGTCATGGCATTTGGGCGTGCTGTCGAAGATGGAGCTGACATCATCTCCTACTCCAACGGCCGTGGTTCCTCCTGGGCACATGATGTGCGTGCTGTCCTCGTTTCCCGCATTGTCGACTCTGGTATTCCTGTTGTCGTCTCTGAAGGCAACGATGGCTTTCACGGGCTCTTCTACGCCTCCACACCAGCGGCGGGAAGCAGCGTCACGGGTGTGGGAGCCGTGTCTAATACAATGTTCCCCGCCTTTCTCGAGCAAGGCTCCTACACGACTAGCGCTAATGCGACCACCAACGGCACGCATGAGTTCGGCTTCCTGATGGGTGTCCCAGAATTTGCTGCGGATACGACACTCCCTCTCTGGTCTGTGGGCGACGCCTGCAAGCCGCTGCCCGATGATACACCGGATCTGAGCCAACGCATCGTGCTCGTGGAGTCTAAGGACCCGCAAGCAACGAAATGCTACAGCCAAGACCAGGGCGCTAACATCGCAGCAAAGGGTGGGCAGTTCATGTTGTATTATGAGCAAAGCAACCTGACGATGCGCGACGAGCCATACGTCTACGCCGACGGTATCAAGGGTGCAGCCAGGGTCGTCCCCCACGTTGCTGAGCAGTGGCTCTCACTGCTTTCGCAAGGTGCTACCGTCTCTGTGACCATTCCAGCCAACGGTTCTCAGACACGCCTCGAGGAGCTTGAGAACAACGAGCGTGGCGGATACGTCGCTGGCCGACTGTCGAGCTGGGGCCCAAGCTGGGAGCTCAGCATGACTCCACAGGTTGTGTCGCCCGGAGAGAATATTCTAAGCACGTTCCCGACGGCTATGGGTAGTTATCGCGTCATGACTGGCACGAGTATGGCAACACCGCTGGTTTCAGGCATCTACGCAATGCTCGGTGAGGTGTATGGCAAGTTGGAACCGAAACGCCTTCGCAGACTCCTTACCCATACGTCAAAGCCCCTCGCCTGGTACGATGGTAAGACTGCACATCCGGATATTCTCGCTCCAGTCCCACAACAAGGCGCTGGACTAGTGCAAGCTTGGAATGCTGCCCACACCACCCTCGAGATCGATATCGACAACCTAATGCTCAACGACACGGATCACTTCGTTGGCAGTCACACTTTTAGCGTCGTCAACACTGGCTCCGCTGATGAGGTCCTAGAGTTGAAGCATCGGAAAGCTGTCACCATGTACACTATGGATCCCACAGACAGCGTCCTTCACACTGGCTCGTTTCCTAATGCCATTGTCGAATCTTGGGCTACTGTGTCGTTTTCATCCGACCGCATCAATGTTCCCGCCGGTCAATCTGTCAAAGTCACCGTTGACATCGCACCGCCAACGGGTCTCAATGCGACCTTGCTCCCCGTGTACAGCGGTTTCATCGCCCTAGGCGATAAGCTTGTTCTCCCGTACCTCGGTGTCGTAGGCAGCATGCGCAATATCACCGTTCTAACGCCTGATAACACATACCTCGCGCAAGGATACGCGCCCGCACCTGCGAATGCCTCTTACACCATCGCACGACCAAATCCTAGTAACCCGCCAGGAATGGACGATGGTGATACAATGGCCACGCCAAACGTGTACATGAACCCTGTGGTAGGCTCACCTTTGATTCGTGTCGAGGTACTGCAAGGCGACAAGGTACTAGGGCCGTTGGCTGGATTCCCGCAAACGTACGTCCCAAGATCAGAAGTGCGTGCATTCTTCAACGGGTTGCTAGCCGACGGAAGTGTGCTCGACGAGGGCTCGTACCGGATGAGAGTAAAGGCGCTACATATCTTTGGTGAGAAGGATCGTGAGGATGATTGGGATACTGTTTACTCTGCTACTTTTACAGTTAAATATCGAACCTAATATATATATATATTCTAGTTAGAACTACTGCGTGAACGGATGTTACACAGTACAGTAGTAAGCATGCAGTGGTTGTAGTAGTGGTAGTAGTAGTGGTAGTGGTAGTAGTAGAAGTAGTAGTATATGTCAGGAATGGCGTTCTTCGAGGAAGGGAATAGCTTACTTAAGCCTCCTTAGTTAGCTTTCAATATATAATCCTTGAGCCTAGCTATATAAAAGACATAATAGCTGCAGCGTTTTGTATACTTATCTAGATACTTTTCATTAGTGTAATAATTTTTGAAGCATTTTGTTTACTAAGGTGTTTAGCTATCAAGATTATAAAAATACTATTTAGTTACTTTTACTTTCTTTATCACTATAGTAGGGTATTTAATTCTAGATCAGTTTATCTTAGGCTTTCTATGCTTACTTCAATCTATTACTCTACTCTATTTATTAGCAAATCTTGACAAGTTCTTTCTTATCTCTAACGTGTTTTACAAGCGAGCGCCGCGTACAAGCGAGCGCCGCACCCCACTAAACCTGCGCACCTCTATAAGCCTGTAGTTCCACCACAATATAGTTGTTTTACTGTATATTAATATAATAGATTAAGCAGTACCTAGAGTATCTTTCTTGCACGTACGCGAGTTGTGGCCAGTTTCTCTACACCTACTGCAGCGCGCCAAAGCCTAGCGGCTGACACCTAATCGCTCTCCTCCCTAACGCTCTTCATGAGCAATCTGCTAATTAGCCTCACGCTAAGCAAGTAGATCCTTTCTAGCTCCCTTTGTTAGCACTCCATGCTTCTGTATCCGCTTCCTTTTACGCTGCCTACGCTTTGTTGCTACCTTATTAGCCCTCTTAAGGCTGGCGATCTAATCGCGCATTAGCTTAGCCAAGAGCATTATTCTCTCTGCCTCCTTCTTAAGCTGGCCAATCGCCGCAATAATTGACGCTAGTGACGAGCTCTTATGCCGCTAGACCCGATCACGTATTAGCGTTGATTGGGCTTCAAGCTCGCGTACGTTGCTTGGGGTACGAGCCTGCCAGACGGCCTCTGCAAGAGCAGCTACTGGAGTAGGCGTACGCAGCTGTACGTCAAGCTTTGATAGAACAGTGTCTGGCTGGAAAGGAACAAGGCCTGCGCCTTGAAAGGCTGAGCAGATATTGGCTGCCGTGAAGGATCGATCGAAGGCTACCTTGAACGCTGGCAGAAACTCAAGCTTGGTGATATGGTTGATGTGGTTGCGTATCAGGCTCTCCACCTCACGGCTGTACGCGCGCTTTAATGGCGAGAAGCAGCCAACGTCAAGAGGCTGGAGTAGGTGAGATGAGTGAGGCGGCATACAGAGCGTATAGATATTGTTTGCCTTACAGAGCTCTTGGAACTCAAGTAACTAGTGGCTCTCATAGCCGTCAAGAATAAGCAGCCGGCGTACCCCAACAACCTTACTATCCGTATGCTTGACAAAGTGCTTTAGCCACTTAACTCCTAGCTTATTAGTCGTCCAGCCGTTGTCGCTAACTGCGATCGCCTAGTCGCGTGGGATCTCTGTCTCCTTATACCAGGCAGATAGGTGATGCTTGCTAGTAAAGATAAGGAACAGTGGGATAGACCAGCCAGCTGCATTAATCCTAGCGATAAACGTTACCCACTCTCGGCCACCTAGTTAAACAGCCTTTGGCCGGCCTCTTCTCTCTGACGCTGTAACGACTAGCTAAGTCGCGATCTTGCCTATTATAAAGCCCGCTTCGTCGAAGTTGTAGACGTCTTTGTTACAGATGCCGTACTTGGCCTTTGTCTTCTCCACAAGCTCAAACTAGCTCTTGATTAAGACTAGATCTTCACACAAGGCTCTCTGCCTATCGTACGCTCGATTAAAACGCGTTGTAAGACTGTCAGTACGCTTGACAAAGTTGCGCGGCCAGTGGACGCCAACCTGGCCAGCGCCGCGCGCAGCCAGCAGTCTATCAGCTATATCTCGCATAGCTACATAGGTAGGCGAAAATCCACGTAGATCCAGATTAAGTACATGATCAATTATCACCTGCTCTTCTAGCTTGGTAAGCTTCTTTAAGTTGGGCTGGCAATCGCGTTGGGCAGGCTTGCCGACGCGTTGGCGGCAGATTGTTCGTTCTGACACGTTATAGATAGCAGCAGCACTGCGATTACTCTGTATCTGACCAGATTCAATAGAGGATATAGCGAGCTGGATATCTGCTTTATTTAAAGCTAACTAACTAGCGTTGCGTTGAGCCATTATGTATTGAGATAAGAGAGGTGCACAAAGTTAGTGGGGTGCGGCGCTCGCTTGTACGCGGCGCTCGCTTGTAAAACACGTTATGTACTTTTTTGGAAGTTCTAGTTTGTTCTAGTAATTATACTTTACTTACTTTTATTATTCTTTTTTAATTTATTACTTCTTAATTAAGAAGGCGTATTTTTTGACTATTTGTTATAGTTGTAACTATAACCCTATATAGCTTAATAGATTAGAATAAAAGTTAGTTTATTCTTAATAAGAATACTGTATTGTATTTTTGAATTAGTTTCTTTATAGCCTTTATATAGTAAAGTCACTTTAATACTCAATTAATAAAGTTATTTTTCCTGGATTAGTATATAATTGTAAAGTTAAATTTAGAGAAATAGTAAGTAAAACTATATATACTTATAGTTAATTATCTGAGTTATTATAAGCTGATTAGAGTTTTAATGTGTTATAATACGCTAGACGTAAGTACTTAATAAGTAGTTTTACTAGTATTAACTCCTTTAAATTATAGGTTCAAGTTTTTAATTATCTATATTAAAGTTATTATAGCCTCAGCTGTATACTAAATTTAGTTATATGTTAGCTTAGTTGTTGACTTTGTATTAAGGCTTTAAATTCAACATTTGAATAAAAGGATTAATTCTTATCATCTTTAAAAAGCTATACTATTGTTTATTAAAGAAGGGCTAAGCTATAAAGAATTTCTATCTTAGGTTAACGTGGTTCATAAGCGTGTCAGTCACCCAAGCGAGTCAGTCACTCCCCACCAGCGCGTTGACGTTGATACTACAACGCGTTATGTCTTAATAACATAACTATTAATCAACTTATCTTACATTAGATTTTTAACTTACTCTTTTTAATATCTAATTATAATATGTTTAATTCTAAAGACGCGCTACCTTTATCTTTAATATGCCTTAAAGTATAATATCTAATCAATAGGCTAAAAAGCGCCTCTAACGCAACTATAAACTAAATTTAAAGCGCCTAAATAAGTTAGGAGAGGAGGCTATTATTAGACGTATTTTTAAAGAGTCTACGCGTGGATTTGCCTCTATAAAGGCTAAGGTTTGAGCAATAGCTAATAAACTATTAAGGGAAGCGTAGTGGCAACACTATTAGTAAGAATTAGGTTGACAACTTTATTAGGTGGACTGCTAAGCTCTATACGCGCTAGAGCTATCCTTATAATTACTAGCAAGCCGCCTATAAGGACCTAGTAGCTGTCTAGCGCTAGTTGAACTTAGTCTAGGCGATAAGGTAGAAGTAGGGTATCATAGACAATAATATTTATAACTTCAACAAAACTAGCTTTATGATAGGCAAGATTTTATTATAGTTACTAATTATAGCATTAGAAGGATATAGGAAAAAGAAGTAGATACAGCTAGGCAACTATATGTAGTTTACTATAATCTAAGGCGTAGGCGCGTTAGGTGGCTAAATACTATATTTTGTTATCTTTATAGGCAAGGTGCTTATTAAGATCTAGTTTAAGAATTTGCCTACTAACTAAGTTCTTAAAGTTAGTCCTAATAGCTAGATGAATAATCAGCTTAGTCTTGCCTAGTTAGAGCACTTTAATACCCATACAAAGAGCTATACTATAGGTAGGTATTAACTGCTTATTATTAATAGCTATAAGAGCTACTACTTTATTAATTTCCAAAATCTTTGCAAGAAGAAGAATATTATGCTTCTCTACATGCCTGCGCGCTTGTCTTACCTATTACAGCCTCTTGACGTCGCCTACTTCTTACTATTCAAGCGTAAGTATAGTAACGCTATTTTAGGCTTAGCACGTAACTACACTTACTACATTAGTAAAGAGACCTTCTTACTAGCCTTTAAAACTACTTTTAAGCAGTCTATTACTAGGGAGAATATCTAAGCTAGCTTTAGATGCGCTAGTCTAGTCCTATATAACTTATAGGCTATGCTGTCTAAGCTTAATATAGTGGTGCAGACACTTATACAATTACTATGATAAGTAGCTACCTAGTAGGCACAAACACTACGCAACGCGCGCAAAGTTAAGTCTTAGATTAGTCTTATTTAGGAAAGAATAAGAAAACGCTATAGGTCTTCTACTAATTTACTTACTAAGTAGATCGCGTAGCTAAGTAAGAGGGCCTAGTAAATAGTATATAAAATAACGCTTATAAGAGAGGTAGTAGCCACTTTTTAGAAGGCTCTAGATATAGGAAATAAGCGTAATAGCTGTAAGTAGCAATACGTATAAATAGACGAAACTTTTACTATAGGCAAAGTATAAGAAGTGTTAGCTAAATAAACACGTAGTAGATATAGCAATAGTAAGAGTGCGTTAAAGAGGGTGTAAGGAGAGTGGTATTGCAGGCGTTATAAGTAGACTAGATATAACGCTTATACCTATGTACTTAAGATAGATTGTATAAGTAATACTATTAATTCTAATCATTATTTTAGTATATTATAAAAGTTGATTAACTATGATTAAAGACTATAATAAGGTGTTAACGTTAACGCGCTAGTAGGGAGTGACTAACTCGCTTAGGTGACTAACTCGCTTATGAACCACGTTATAGTACTTTTTCTAAATTCAAATTGTTTTACTACTAAGTATTAAGTAAAACTATTTTCTAAAACAGTATACTATTTATAGTCCCTAAAAGTTTTGGGTGTAATAGGTCTACTTATATTTACATCTAAAAGATTTAAGTAATTAAATACCTTATTAGAAGATTTTTGTGTACTATTTTCGTTTCATCTAGCTTACATATAAGTGATATAATAATCAAAGGAATTTTACTAGTTTTTGTATCTTTTGAGTCTATTTTTGCACCTTCAGTATTACTAACTAAGTGCTGAATAGCGTTTAGATTTATATACCCTAGTTTA